AATCAGAAGTGGGCTAATGTTCGTTGTCAATTTTAACAACAAACAAACAAACGCGAAGCAGAGTTAAGAAAAACGTGTTAAAAATGTAAAAACTATCAAAATGTCATGTGTTTTTCGTGCACGAATACAACACTTCCTCTATACACTGTATTCAGGAAAGTAATAAACCGGGAGTGATCTCCCCAAAACTTTCTCGAATCTTCTAATATAAAACTACGGGGTATGGCAACTCAGGACATAGACAATATATGTAATCCATTTTTAATTACTCGTAAAAAGAAAAGAATTGCACACCAAGTGAACGCCTAATAAAATGTGCATAATAGTGTGGGATATTATTACTTTATAAATTCATATGCGTTTTTTTTTTTGAGACATCGGAAATAGCGTAAATTACTACTTCCGGTCGACGGAAAATACTCAAAATTTGATATAATGTTTATGTATGAAATTTCATCAAACTAGCTGTATCGGTACTCAAGTTATCGTGTTTACACACACACACACAGACATACGGACAAGATTGCAAAATTATGTTTTTCCGACTCTGAGAGCCCTAAAACGCCGAGATTTGCAAAAATCTCGATTTTTTCGTATATTCGAGAAAGTAAAAAAGCAAATCAACAAAGATTGAACAAAAAAAAAACAAAGAATGAAAAAAAAGGGAAGCGTAAGAAACAAAACATATTATTCTAGACTGTCTTAATGTTACATGTTATTTTTCTCTCATCATAATGACTGGTAGGGTAGACAGTGGTGTCTAGCTAGACCCAGGTTCGGGGCTTGTGACTTAAGTGCCCGCATATGCAAACCAGATGGCGAGGCCCCAAAACGTGTTGTTTGTTCAGTTTGATCTTACTGCGCTCTGCTTGGCTAATTAGCTAAGCAGGGATGCGGGTATGTATTTTATTGTGATGGTGGTCTATGATCAAAATATAATACGAAAAGATAAATTAGCAAGTATCAAGTACTATTGTTCAGAACTTTAAACGATGGGGCGCATCACGTTTGTCATACGAAACAAGCGATGCACGCGATACTGAAATGGTTTGAAAAGTTCCATCTGTTCATGTCCCACAACCCATCTGTGTACCGAAGCCCACACACATTCTTTGGATCCATCTGGTATGTTTATACACCGACTATTATACTAGGGTCCTCAAAGAATTATTAGATAATAGCCCACAAACTTTGTTCAGAGCCCAATCACCACTCATGCATAATTTTAAAAACGGGCCCACACACCACCTATGTATCATAGCCCACACCATAGTTTAAATGATGTCATTATACACCATTTTTACCAACTACACACAAACTTCCAGCTATAAATACTTACACTTTTTTACTTTCTCATATATAGATTATAGAGAAAGTATTGTAATCGTGCACACAAAAAATCGAGATTTTTGCAAATCTTGACATTTTGCAATCTTGTTCGTATGTCTGTGTGTGTGTAGGCTATGTGTGTATGTGTGTGTGTATGTCTGTCTGTGAACACGATAACTTGAGGACCGTACAAATAGATTGATGAAATTTCATATACAAGTATTATTTCAAATTTGTAGTTCTGTATCAACTTTTCAGCGATTTCCGATAACCGGAAGGAGAGCTATTCTACTTTCAGTTTTTCATAGCGACTTCAATATTTTAAAGATGTCTGCTCATGCGAATACGAGCTTTTTCTTTTCGTTTCGATTTAAGGATTCGGCGAGTCCACCTAGAGGTGTGACAAGTTAAGTCACCTGTACTGTGGTGTTGAGAAATTGCGAAACGCGAAATGGCGAGGCGGCAAACTGCGAGAAGAAAATGCGAGACAGACCTTAGAAATCGCAGGTAAATAAAGAAACAATTTGCCAAAAAAAACCTTTTTCATGACTTTGGGTTGTTTTTTCTATGATAGTTATACACTAAAGAAGCTGATATATCACGATGTTTTGTGTTGTTCTTTTTTTAGATCAAGTTTTTATTTATATATTTAAATATATATACAGAGATAGATCTCTATGTTAAAAATCCTAACAAACATCTATGACACCACTCTAGTTTTCATGTCAGCGGGAGAAAATCCCGTCTTGATAGACAGTCAGTGTGTGTTCATTATATTATTTTAGGGTATATTTTTTAAAATCTATATCTAGATATTCGAAATTCTAAGTATTGTCAATGTTAGTATTGTCGTCCGCTTCTCAGCCAATTACGTTTTCTAATCTGTGCGAGAAAAAAAAGGATGTTAAGATTTTTAAATATAGAGATCTCTTTAAATCAGTGATATAAAAGTGATAAAAAATCGCCTAATGTAAGTGACAAAATTTTATCGCGCTATTTGAAAAAAAAAATTTAACCCTTAAATGCATACCGCTACAGATCTGCAACATACCAGTTACTTTCCCATAAAATATTAGCCTAAACATGATTGATTCTGTGCATCGCGTTGTTTGACTGCTACATTAGGCTACAATGTTAACCTACAGCTTGCGCATATCTAAGTGACCTAGATCTAGATTTGTTTTACCGCCAAGCCGATCTCAAATTTGTGCATGGTGTGTTTTCTATCTCAGCATTTCTGGTTGGCGTTTCAAAGTTCATCAAAGTCGAATAAACTGGTTTTGGCATTTTAAAAATATATTTCTACCTACCTCAGGTATGTATTACATATTGTACGTGTTGTTTTGATAATCAATTCATAATTTTTTATAAATCTTCACAAAACTTTGGTGGCAGTATTGCAACGTTATGCATGTAGACCTACTTTTGCTCTATTTTTTACTTTATACATAAGCATTGGTGATTATATAGTACCTTGTTTTTCTTCTAGTTTCAGCATAATCATTAAGAAATCAAAGGTGGATCAAGGTGAAGAATTATATGAAGTAGATGCTCTTGGTGATCCAAAGTATCTTCCTGAATCTCCAGGACCAGTGTGGACCCTGGGTATCCTAGACCAGTGTGGACCCTGGATCTCCTGGACCAGAGTGGACCATAAATCTCCTAGACCAGTGTGGACCCTGGATCTCCTGGACCAGAGTGGACCATAAATCTCCTGGACCAGTGTGGACCCTGGATCTCCTGGACCAGAGTGGACCATAAATCTCCTGGACCAGTGTGGACCCTGGATCTCCTGGACCAGCGTGGACCCTGTACACACTATCACTTTAGCTAACTAAATCTCTAAGCAATCTTAGCTCATCAAGTGCCTGGTACCGTGCTGTTTCACTCTCCCGTATAAAAAATAAACGCACGACCCATAATGTTGTAATTAATTGGTAACACAACAACAACACTATGATAGCAATCACAGCAAGTATAATCACAGAAACGTAACGTTTAATTAACGGTTTATTACAAAAGCTGCTCCTCAGCGCCATTTGGCAAAAAATAAAAAATAAAAACCAAACCGAAAATTCCTGATTTAATCATTGGCACCCTGGCACAGCACATTCGGCTAACTCTGGAATTTACCAAGAAAGGACCTTTTTTACAAATCTAGACGTTTTACACCACACTGATACGGAAAAACATAATTTTGCAATCTTGTCCGTATATCTGTGTGTGTGTGTGTCTGTCTGTGTGTAAACACGATAACTTAAGTAACGTTAGAGCTAGGTTGATGAAATTTCATATATAAGTATTTTATCAAAATCGTAGATCCGTTCCAACTTTTGAGCGATTTCCAATAACCGGAAGTGGTACTTTTTCTACTTTGAATTTTTCAAAAGCCTATAACTTGAGTAATATTTCAGATAGATAAATGAATTTACACATGTAAGTAAAAGATCTAATTCTCTACCTTCTATTAAATTTTGAGTAATTTCCGTTGACCGGAAGTACTAATTTACGCAATTTCCGATTTCTCAAAAACGCATCTAAATTTATAAAGTAATAATAATATTGCGCACTATTATGCACATTTTGTTTTGGCGTTCGCTTGGTGTGCAATTGATTTTTCTACAAGATTTTATTCTATTTAAGTAAACAAAAAACACGTCTATATTCCGAGTTGCAATCCCACGTAGTGTTATATTAGAATATTCGAGAAAGTTTAGGGGAGATCACTCCCGGTTTATTTACTTGGTTAATTGTTTATCCAGCGAGTGTTTACAATGTAATGAAATAACAAAATAACAAAAAGCCTTTCAAATCTAGTTGTCAATCGAACAGTTGAAGTAAATCTCACCTGTTTCCGTGACGATGGTTTTTGATTCAGGGATTTTTACCGATTCAGTTACCGATCAGCGCAGGGCGGACTAAGGGACATGATATGTTCTCTAGCCAGGAATCCAAACCTAAGACTTTCGGGTAAGTAATCACGCTCTCTTGCAGATAAAAAAAAGCAACCCTTAGCGTTTGCATAAGGTAGAGTTTAATAGTTTGATGGAAACATGGAAGAATGCAAAATGCGTTAAACTTTTTAAAAAGAATTCTAATGTTTGGAGCAGACGACTGAAAAATAGAACGACACAAGTACCAGTAAGGAAAGTCAAAGTGCAGAAGTGACCTAAAATCTGATCAATGGAGTATCTAACCGCCCACATGCTAGACTCTAAACAAGAAACCGGAAGTAATGTGCCACACATTTCTATCAACCCTTTAGGTGGCTTGCTCTCACTTTCCATGTGGCGTAGGTGTGTGGGAGGGGGGGGGGGCGTTAGAGGGACCCTCAAACTGTCATACGCGTTAAGTTATAGCTGTTGGCGACAATACGCTCGTACTGATTTCAATGTTTTCATCATTTAATTAACATGTCTTACAATCAACATTTTCTTTCATAAAGGCACCATGTATATAATGAGCGTGGACAGATTTTATTTGCCTTATAAAATCCTCTAAATCATTTAGTTAGATTTCACCTAGGGCATGCACATGTTGGCGGCCCCATGTTCTTGATCATAAAAGTTTTTAAAAATTAACGATTCACAATTTAAAAACAAAAACACAACTTATTTTGAATCAGCGTAGTCGACTTCTCTTTATTTGGTTACATTAGACTTGTATTTCGACAACTGTCCACCTCTAATAGCTTACTGCCCGCACATGACAGTCTCTGCGATGTCCACAAGAATGCTGAGGAAGTCGACCTTTTCTGCAAAGTTCTTGAACTCAGCATCGCAGGCGTCAGTCAGCTCAGATCTCTTAGACTTGTACGCCCCTTTCACATCCTGCCACCATTTTCTCAGCTTAGGTAATTTTGATTCGCCATCGGAGTCTTTTGTGTTGAAAACCTGAATATTAAACAAGTGTTCTTTAGTACAAGTTTTTAACTTGCTTCCTCTATCGTCATAGATCGAAACGGGCGGGCGAAATTTCGGGCACTTCTAACAGACATATTTCTCTGAAACTTGGCACGTGGGTCAAGACTTAGAGACAATGCAGTATGGCGTTAATATTGACTTAATTAAATGCATAATTTTTTATTTATCAATTTGATTTTTTTATTTGTATACGTCTATTAGTATTATATAAATAAAACATATTAGTAAAATTCCCCCTTTGGATCTAACGATCTATATGGGAGATTAAGTATCCTACTGTTCAAGTTTCTTGACTTGGGCATACGAATTTATTTTTATGTTGAGTACTATTCCTAGACGCCTTTACTTTTCATGACGCGAGTAAGGTACTCGTCAGAGCTGTGGGGGCTAATAGATATTCAGCAGTCTCGGGTCCGGACTGATATTTGAACTCAAGAGCTTCAGGTTATCACTCGAGCGCTCTACCACCCGACTACTCTGTCCCATAAAATAAGATAATAGATTTCCATCAAGAGTAGGGTGGTGACTGGGACATCCTACACAAGGTAGACTAGAGGCTGAGTTTGAATCTTAGGGAGCGTGGGTGAGTGCTCTACCACTATCCCACAGTTAATCTCCTTGATACGTTCAAACAAAGAAATATCACTAGGTACTGGTAGTTAGATGGGACGGAGTGGCTTAGCGATTGAGAGCTGGACTGCTAACCCGTAAGTCTCGAGTTTGAATCCGGGTTCAACTCAGTAGACCGTCCCTGAGTCCACCCAGCTCTGATGGGTACCTAACTTACGTTAGGGTAAGTAAAGGCGGCTGGGCATAGTGCTGACCACACTATCCCTTCATATGCCGAAGTCACAGAAACAAGTGAACTCTACTTCACATGCCCCGTAGACCGTCAGGTTTTAAAGTGAACTTTACTTTACTGTTAGTTAAACACTCCCCCAAATTGTAAACGCCAAAATCAGCTGTCGGTGAGTCTTTTTTAGTAGCAGTATTTCCATTCAAGGCATCCTCTATATAATAGGGCTGGTAAGTAGGTCACTAACCAGTTCTACGGCTCAATAAAATCTGCATAAGCCACATAACTGGTTGGTGACCTACTTACCAGCCCTATTACATGTTATACTTGTATAATAAAATAATTAGGGAAAAATAAATTTAAATAAATAAAATAAAATCATCATTAGACTACTGACCCCGTTCAATGCAACATTCCTGGCTTGATCCATTGGCAGCGTATCGGATGTTCTCTTTCCAAAAAACCACCACCTTATGATAGGGGCTACAAATCTAACTAAGTTGCTGAACCATCCTCTTTTGGCCAGGTCTCCGCGTGTGGCTAGACCAGTTTCGTAGAACTAAAAATAGATATTTTGATTAATAAAATTGCATTATGTGTTGTCATAATGAGCTATGTCACCTAATGTAGAAAAGTCAACGTTTTTATGAGAATAATACTTTCAAATGGTACATGTTTATATTTTTTAAACAAGGGTATACATGTTGAGTTTAGAGTGGCTTGACGCTTGTGTATTGTTAAAATAAAGAAAATGAAGACTGTAAACTACAGATGGCCGCTGGGTACCTCAGAACAAAAAAGCGAACCATCGATATAGGCGCTAAACGAGTTGTTTCAGAAAAGGGAACCAACTTTATAGACGCTAAACTAGTTATTTTTTAGAAAAGGCACCAACTTTATAGACGTTAAACGAGCTATTTCAGAAAAGGGACCAACTTTAAGGCGCTAGACGAGTTAATTCAGAAAAGGGACTATTTTTATAGACGCTAAACGAGTTATTTTAGAAAATGGAACCAACTTTATAGACTTTAAACGAGTTATTTCAGAAAAGGGACCAACTTAACAGACGCTAAACGAGTTATTTCAGAAAAGGGACCAATGTATAGACGCTAAACGAGTTATTTCAGAGAAACAACAAACTTTATTGACTCTAAACGTTATTTTTTACACCAGAAAAGGAACAGATTTAGTTTACGCTAAACGGTCTGTTATTTCAAAACAAAGGGAACCAACTTTGTTGACGTCAAACCGCTTACTGACTCTAATCGGGTTGTTAGTTTCATAGTTGCATAGACCAACTTCATCAACAAGGGTATGAACTGAAATATTACTGTCTCAACCGCTTCTCCGGCCAAACCTAGCCTACACGGATGGGATCTCCACTACTCTAAACTGCTCCATCTGACTTTGGTTGCTAGGGACTGGCATTCTTAAAGCCTAGGTACCCTTTTCCGTCTACTGATAAATTTGATCACTAGCGTAGGGACGCTCAAAACCAGAGTTTCTTCCAGGCATCTCTTCGGCGGGGGGGGGGGGGGGGGGGGGGGGGGCGAAAAAAAAGTCTACCGCCCCCCCCCCCCCCCCTCCCCCGAACGAAATGGAATTTATATAGAAAATATATACTTTTGACAGTTTCAGCCCGCCCCCCCCCCCCCCCCCGGAAATTTCAAGTACACCCCCGGAGAAAAAAGTCTGGAAGAAACTCTGCTCAAAACCTGGTAAACCTGTTCTGTTTAACAATGAATTTGGGTCACTATGGCCTGGGACTCTCAAAGCCTGGTTAAACTGCTCTTTAAAAATATAAATCAATCAAAACGAATAACCTCGGAGCCGGTACCAACAACGCGAAAATTAAAATATATATATTTTTTAAAATCCATTGTACTTCTACAAAACTATAAAGGGTTTTTATTTATAGTGCTAATCTTAACGTAGATAAAGTATGAATTTATATCTAGGCCTACCTCGCAAATAACACTCAAAGCACTGTCAATTTCAGCTTGCAACTGTTCTGTTGCATTATCGGCTTCACCATCAGCTACGGCAGCGCCGACCAGAACTAAACACAGAACAACAGCTGCCAATATCTTCATTGTTGTGTTTCTGCAAAGGATAAAAAGAGATTATACAATTAAAATCGTGAAACGTTTCGGTTTATTATTATATATATTATTCTATACATTATTTAAAAACAATATTCACTTTAAAAAAATGCTGTATCGTTAAACTTACGCTGAGAAAACGATTCTATCCTTGAATGTGAGTGCGTTCACTTAATCATTCTGTTTCGCTGTTGCCAGTCTTATATCATGTTGAAGTACGAACTCCAACACTCGATAAAACAAATTCTCACGCGGCTTAAAGATAAAGATAACAGCGTGAACATAATCCAACACAACAAACATTATTTCTTGTTTTGTCTGATTAAACCGCTCACGTCTCTAGGGCGTGCGTGGTAAAAGACAACAGAGGTAATCGAAAGTAAATAGCTGACAATGAAGCTAAATCAAAATGGAGCTGGGATGCGTTAAAAACATCGACGTCAAAAGATGAAACTATTCATTGTTTTAAGAGTAATGACGCAAAGCGAGCGTGTTAAATCATTATTGGGGAATTTTCTTGTTTCTTTCGAACAATAGATTGATAATTAATAGATACTCCTAGTGGCCTCGTCGTATGCTGATTGTAGTCTTATGCTGCTACATTCGATTTATAGAACGATTATAGAAGCCCATCGAAAGGAGGGGCCACTGTGCTCACGAGGTAGCCCGGGGCGCCAATTGCACCCAATCGGGGCGCCGGATGACGTGCCTGATTAGATTTAGTCAACGATTATAGTACACCAACATACTTGTGGTGCATTCACGGGGAGCCCGGGTCGCGTAATTGCACCCTGCCCGGGCGTCGGCCCTTCGAAATTTAAATTTCTTTTTTTCGCAGAAACCTTTCCATGAGTATGTTTATCATCTCACCAACTTTTATGACGACAAATGAAAGGTGCAGCAATGCATTAAGGACACTCACACATACACACATACACACACAAACACACACATACACCTGGTGCAGTTTTACTGTTAAATCAAGCAGTATCCCTGATCCCCAGGGTGCCCATTCAACGGATACCAAGTGCTAAGACAGCCGCTCGTGCACTCTGGGCTTCTGACTTTTATTTTTTATATACCGTATATAGAGAGAAATCTCATTATGTTTACAGGATGTGCGCCATTATGTTTTAACAACCTACACGCCCCTCCCCCGACACCCCTCCCGCGCGTGTCCATTGAAGTCGATCGGAATTGTAACAGCACACTTCCGGCTTTTTTCATGCTCCTGCTTTAATTTCTGCGAGTTTTGACCCTATGTGCAGACACTCACTTATTTTAAAAGCCAGCTTTGTGTAGACCCTTAAAGAGTATAACAAAAATAGAACAGAGGCGTAGCGACCCTTTTCGGCGCCCGGGGACACACTTTTGATTTGCACCCACCCCTCAAACTTTCGATATGCACCCCCCGCCTCAAACTTTTGATTTGCACCCCCCCCCCTTCCCTCAAACTTTCGATTTGCACCCCCCTCAAACTTTCGATTTGCACCCCCCTCCCTCAAACTTTCGATTTGCACCCCTCCCCTCGAACTTTGGATTTACATCCCCCCCCCTCAAACTTTCAATTTGTTTTTCCAACCCATTTTGGCGCGCCCCTAAGGTCGGCGCCCGGGGACATATGTCCCCCCGCCCCCTCTCGCTACGCCTCTGCAATAGAATGTAGTTTATTTTCAATTGTCAATGCATTTTAACTTTGTCTTTACACATGTTTTATAGTTCGTTTATATCAACGCTTGTTAGGCCAAATTGTAAACACATTTAATTCAAGGTTGTTGATTGCGAATAAAAATATCAACTTTTCGTCAATAAAAAAACTTTAAAATTATTGACTTTTGTGATAATGTGCTAAGTTACATTATCTTTCACATAGATCTATTGGTAGGCTTATTAATTTTTTTCGAAGACGTATTAATTTAATTTATTACTGCGGTTATTTTAGGCCGAGTAGAATCAGGGTTCAAGTCAGTAGAACGTTCCTAAGTACACCCAGCTTTAATGAGTATCTAACTCACGTTTGGGAAAATTAAGACCACTGTACATAGTGCTAACCATACTACCCATTCATGTCTACTTCATTCAGAGTTTCTTCCGGAGCCCCCCCCCCCCCCCGAAGAAAGTCTACCGCCCCCCCCCCCCCGAACGAGATGGATTTTATATAGTAAACATACACTTTTACTAGTGTCCGCCCCCCCCCCCCCCCCCCGAAAAATGTTGACCCCCCTCCTCGAAAATACCAAGTGCCCCCCCCCCCCCCCCGGAGAAAAAAGTATGGAAGAAACACTGACTTCACTTGCCTCATGTCCCTAAGTTTTTTTTAATTGAGGTTATTTTCGTGATGTGTGAAACGTTGCTCTGTCTCTTTAGACTCTTATGGTTATACATATATAAATAAAATACTTAAAAAAAACTTTTTAAAAAACCACGTTTTTCTTGTGGACTAAAAAGTAGAAAATAACTATTTACATACATTTGATGACAAAAAACGTGGGTACGTTCACCATCAAATTTCCCGACCCATCTGCCCGACCCACGTTTTTTGTCATCAAATGTATGTAAATAGTTATTTTCTACTTTTTAGTCCACAAGAAAAACGTGGTTTTTTAAAAAGTTTTTTTTAAGTATTTTATTTTCTCCTTTTTAGTCCGTTGCTACACATGAAAAACGTGGTTTTTAAAAAAAGTTTTTTATATAGTTTATTTTCTACTTTATCCAATGACTTGATTAAGTATGACTGGACTAAGTGTTTATAAATACACGGACTAAAAATCTTGAGCGACCAGGATTCGAACCTGGGTTGTAGCGGCCACAACGCGAAGTACTAACCACTATACGATCACGGCCAGCGCGCTCACATCGATTGGGGCCGAAGTAACTGTGTCAATAGGTCTTCAGTCTTGTCGGTATCTTTAGAAATCATGTCCTCAATTTTATGGTCCTTAGGACGTAATTAAATTAAGCTAATTACGGTCTCTAATTGTTAGTTTTTATGATGGCATCTGAAATTGTTAGGCGAAAGTAGCCTGCATGCCAAATTTCAGAACTATAGAACAATCAGAAGTGGGCTAATTTTCGATGTCAATTTTAACAACAAACACACAAACGCGAAGCTGAGTTCATAAAAAAAGGAGAAAATAAAATACTTAAAAAAAACTTTTTAAAAAAAAACACGTTTTTCTTGTGGACTAAAAAGTAGAAAATAACTATTTACATACATTTGATGACAAAAACGTGTGTACGTTCACCATCAAATTTCCCGACCCATCTGCCCGACCCACGTTTTTGTCATCAAATGTATGTAAATAGTTATTTTCTACTTTTTATTCCATAAGAAAAACGTGGTTTTTTAAAAAAGTTTTTTTTAAGTATTTTATTTTCTCCTTTTTAGTCCGTTGCTACACATGAAAAACGTGGTTTTAAAAAAGTTTTTTATATAGTTTATTTTCTACTTTATCTAATGACTTGATTAAGTATGACTTTACTAAGTGTTTATAAATACACGGACTAAAAAAATCTTGAGCGTCCAGGATTCGAACCTGGGTTGTCGCGGCCACAACTCGAAGTACTAACCACTATACGATCACGGCCAGCGCGCTCACATCGAATGGGGCCGAAGTAACTGTGTCAATAAGCCTACAGTCTTGTCGGTATCTTTAGAAATCATGTCCTCAATTTTATGGTCCTTGGGGCGTAATTAAATTAAGCTAATTACGGTCTCTAATTGCTAGTTTTTATGATTGCATCTGAAATTGTTAGGCGAAAGTAGCGTGTATGCCAAATTTCAGATCTCTAGAGCAATCAGAAGTGGGCTAATTTTCGATGTCAATTTTAACAACAAACAAACAAATCCACAAACGCGAAGCTGAGTTAAGAAAAACGTGTTAAAAACGTGTTAAAATCACGTTTTTTGCTTGTTTTTTAATCTCCCCCCCCCCCGCCCCGCCGTCACACATCTCACAAAAACCCAGACCCCCCCCCCCCTCATCACACACACTCTAAATTGGCGTTACATTATAGCCTAAAACTTCCTCAAAATTACAGTTTAATACTTTTAAACATCGATTTCTATCAAAAATATTTACTGAGCTCGGCCACAACGAGTCAGCCTATTACTTTCATATATTAATCATTTTCTATTAAAATTTACAAATACAGTTTTGTAATACGCGGCTTATAATTTTATAGCTTTACCAATCGTCAATTTTCAGACTGGTGATCTTGTAAACAAAGCAGGCGTTGTATTTCTTGAAACACAATTTTGTTTGTTGGGCCTCGGCGACCGCTCAGGTATCAAAGTCATCACCTGGTGCAATCGGAAGTCACTGGTTACACTACGGTCCCTGGTTGCTTGCTAGGTTTGGTCATCGAATATTGTGTGCTAGTGTCCCTATTGTAGGGTGTTCTTTAAAACTAATGTAGGCGCCATAATGCCCACAGGGAAACTGGGTTGCTCTTGGTCACCGGACCGCCGGGGCGTCAGCCAACGCGCCTGGTTCGATTTAGTGAATGCTTATAGTAGCTCATCGTGTCCAAAGTATATTGCTCTTTTTTTTTTAATGAGAAAGCGATGAACCCCCCCCCCCCCCTCGTATTAAAGCTTCGCAAAATTCCGAGTCCCTCCCCACTAAGTGTGACGTCGTTAATGCATTTATGGAGGACCCTTAAGTAGAGTGAATAGGGCTTTCTGTGACCGGGTAGGGGGAGGGGGTGGTAGAAGAAAATTCAACTTGGATGTGACGCCAAATTTAGGGAGCGGAGGATGTCTGGCTTTTTTTGTGACGAAATGTGACGGAGGGGAGCAGTGTTTCCTTCCAGGCTTTTTTTCCGGATGGGGGGGGGGGGCGCTTGAATTTTCAAGGGGGCGGGGGGCGGACTAAAATTTCAGGGGGGGGGGGGGGAGGGGTTGACACTGTTAAAAATATCTTCTATATAAATTGCATTTTGATGAGGTGGGGGTGGTAGACTTTCTTCGTCCCCCCACCCCACCCCCCGAAGAGATGCCTTGAAGAAAATCTGGAGGGGATGGGGAGGTTAAAAACCGTCGAATCAAGCGTGACGTCTTAATTTATAGATGACTCTTAAACAGTAGCGTAGCGAGGGGGGGGGCGGGGGGGGACATATCTCCCCGGGTGCCGACCTTAGGGGGCGCCAAAATGGGTTGGAAAAATAAATTGAAAGGTTGAGGGGGTGCAAATTGAAAGTTCGAAGGGGGGGGTTGCAAATCGAAATCTTGAGGGGGGGGGGGGGAGTGGAAATCGAAAGTTTGAGGGGGTGCAAATCGAAAAGTTTGTTCCCGGGCGCCGGGAAGGGTCGCTACGCCTCTGCCCCTGCCCTAAACCTAAAATTACGTGGAGTCGTTTTATAAGGACAACACTCTAGACGTTACGTCATAATTTCATACGTTAATTTTGTTTTTATACAAAAATGTGTGTTTGAAGCTAGCTTACATAATAAATGCAATTAACTTTTATTTCAACATATCTATAAAGTAGTATAAAGTTAATTAAAAATATGCACCGCTATAAGAACTAAAAATAAACGGTGACGTCATGCTTCCTGAAAGTCAGCCATTTTTTTCATCCTGTTTGTAAACAAAGGCTAGATCTAGTTTTACCCGATTTGCTGTAACATCACGTGAAACTTTGAGTCATTACACACTTCTTATTTGATAAGACAGCTAAACTTTAAGATAAGACAAGACTTGGTCTTACAGCCATGGGTTGTATTATAGGAACAGTAAGTTCAATTAATTATATAACTAACAGGTCGAGAATGAAACTCCGTAGCCGAAGTTATGGAGTCGGAGTTTCATTCGTCTAATCAGTCTAATCTTTTTCTCGATCTCAAATCTGACACTAGAAAACACTTAACAGTAATTCAGTCAACTCAGTGTTACCACTCGAGACTCATGACTTGTGTAGTTTTAAATATTCAATTTAGGCAACTAGATTACGATGTTTAGTGTTTAGAACTAAATATTAATTATAATTTTAAAAGTGTCGATTTTAGTCAGTAGGCTATAATATTAATAGTGTATAGGGCAGGGGTTCCCAACCCTGTGCCCGCGGGCGCCATGGCGCCCGCCGAACGATTCGTATGTGCCCGTCTCTCACTATTCGACAGAGACAGAATTCTTTTCATAAACATTATTTGGTTGAAGGCTTGAAGGGGATGGAAATCGAAAGTTTTGTCCCCTGGTGACGGGAAGGGTCGCTACGCCTCTGGAAGGAGTTTGTCGATTTAAAATAGGTGGTGCCCGCCACCCTACCGATATTTTAGAATGTGCTCTAGAGTAAAAAAGGTTGGAAACCCCTGGTATTTTATAGGGCCTAATACTAAATAATAAGCCTAAATCTAGGTCTAAACAAAATTAAATTAAATTACCTAGGGCCCTATATAACTAGATCTAGTAGTTAGCCTAGTATTAGGCCTATAATTTTATAATAGTAGGCCTATACTTTATTAAGTAGGCCTAAAGCTAGGCCGTCCTAGGCCTACAAATACAATTTTTTACAACCTTATAATATACTATATAGATCTAGGCCTAAATATATCACTTCAGTCCTTATGCCTTTTAGTAATTTTTTAGTTTGAGTTAATATTGGAGAAAATAGTCAAAAGAAAATGGCCGATGCTAGCCGGAAAAAGATACATATGCGCAATGGAGAGAAACTATGACTTTCTTTCGCTGCGATGTTTTTGATGGTACTGCGCATGCCTGTGTTTACAACTGCAGAACCCTAGCCCTAACCCCAGCCCCAATCCTATCCAGATCCCTAACCCTAATCCTATGCCTTACCCTAGCCATAGGTCACTGCGCATGCGCAGAACTATCTTTTGCCGACTAGGTGGAGACGTTAGGGAGAAAAATCTTTTTCCGAGTAGTCATTTAAAAGAAAATACCTGGATCTAGAAGATCTAGAATCTAGCTAGAGAGAGACTAGAGAGAATGAGAATTTCTAGGGTCTAGCAAGGCCTGTTGTATTTTTTTATTTTTAGAAATTTAGTCAAATTGAGAATTAGACAAGGACTGACATAGGCCTTTTACTTAAACTAAAGGCTTATTTTTTTATATTATATAGTAGGCCTATATTATAGGGCTAGGGGGCCTATAAATCATTCTGCTCGAGACTTTCTGGCTAACAGTCAGTTGATTTGCTCTAACATTTGAAACACACCATACCTATAATAATCTTTGGCCTATAGCTAGCTAATTTTAAGCAACTTTTAAAAAAAAACAAAAAAACTCAGCTTAGTCACTTAATGTAACCGAAAACAAATAATTTAAAAAAATGCCAATGTTTCTCTTCTAGGCTGCTTGTTGCTGTGGAAGTGCGGCATGCAGCTTGTGCTGTGCAGCCTGCCCATCATGCAAGAACTCAACAGCAGCAAGGATTGGCTACTCACTGATGCTGCTCATGGGGGCAATAGTCTCCATCATTATGCTTGTTCCTGGAGTTCGCTCCAAGTTGGAAGATGTAAATTTTGATACTTCTTTATTACTTCAAATTTAAAACACTTTTATGAGATAATTATTGTTGTGTTCCTACAGACTTTATTATTTTGAGTATCCAACTCAGACAGTACTTCAAACTTTATAACTAGTAACCACAAGTTTTGAATCTCTATGGCTCTTAAGTCTTGCTTGAATGTAAATTAGCTTGAATGAGCAAACTTTGGGCATAAAATTTTACCATTTTTAAATTATTTTTATACATTCATTTTAATCAGTAAATGTATAAAATGGGGCAGCATGTTTGAGGAGTGGGGCACTATCTTGAAAGTCTTAAGTAGTTCTTGTTCTCAGGTTTGTGGGATATCCCTAGTTCACCCAGCTTTAATGGGTACCTGATTCAAATAAGGGAAAGTAAAGATAGTTAAGCATAGACCAGACCACAATTTCCCTTTATATAAAAAATTAGATGAACTGAACTTTATCTGTCCTACAGACCACCAAATCAGATAGAATATACTTTGACTTATACAAATCAAATGGTTTCAGAAGAAAAAAATTCACTCTTAACTTTTATTTTCAGCTTCTATTTTCTGTTAGAGTTTAAAATTTTTAGTTAATGGATGCTGTAGACTATTTGTACAAGCACTTGTGGCTAGGTGTGTTGTTCTAGCTTTATTTACAACGCTGGGCAAAAGTTGAACTTATGCTGGGTCAAATGTATTTATTAAGTCCATCCATTTCTACTTTATATTCAAGTATCTTTGTCACTTGTAAAAATAGTATTCAGGTAAACAAAAATAAGCCAGTTCTATGACAAAAATACTGATCAAAAAAGTTCTACAAATACAAAGACAGATAAAAGAGAATTTTTACTTACACATTTTTTTTGCTCCAGTCGAACACTATAATCTATTTTCTATCACTGTTTAGTTGTTATGTATTATTCTTCACAGATCCCTGGACTTTGCAAAGATTTCTTTAAGAATGACTACATCGATACATCGTCGTCAGTTTTTTCAAATGATCAGTGCAATAATGTGGTTGGCTTTCTGGCTGTGTACCGAGTCTGTTTTGCCATGGCCATGTTCTTCCTTCTCTTCTGTATCCTCATGATTAAGGTCAACTCATCTAAAGATCCCAGATCCAAAATTCAAAATGGGTAAACTATAAACTTTTCTATAATTATTTTGTCATCTTTGCAAAAATTATTTTTCAAAATATAAATAAATTGAGTCATTTAAAGTAATAAGTTGTACTAGTTTTTATACTTGCTAAATGTGGCTTTTCTTTTTCTTGTAGGTTTTGGTTCTTTAAGGTTTTAATCATGGTAGGAATTTGTGTTGGTGCATTTTTTATCCCTGAAGGAACATTTGGGCAAGGTAAATTATAATATTATGTTTTCTCTAGTCGATCAATATGTTGGTTTGAATTAAATTATAAATAAACTAAAATAAAAAAGAAATCAATAAATAATTAATAAATATACAAGAAAAATTAAAATATTAATTTAGTGAGTTCATTGATTATATTGAGTGTATTGATTGAGCTATAAGATTAAGATATATTCAAAGTACTCAAATGCTTTCTTTAACCTGATTGTTAAAGATGATGAAAACAAAATGTAACGCTACAGTATTTTATTTTTAGCCTGGATGGTGATTGGTTTGATTGGTGGCTTCCTGTTCATACTTATTCAGCTCATTCTATTGGTTGACCTGGCTCATGGATGGGCAGAATCATGGGTGGAAAAATATGAAGAAACAGAGGCCAAATGCTATTATATTGGTTTGTTGAATTTTCACTTCCACTTTTTAAACTTTATTTAAATAAGTACAGAATTCCATCAGATTTTATAGTCCGAAATAAAATAATCTAAAATGCAATTACAACTTTTATAATAACAATGTCATAACTCCTTATAAGAACCTTATTTGTGGGATAATAATATTAGCCTGCATAAAGCAAAAAGAACATGCATTTCATCCATAGAAAAGTAGTTAAGAAAATTGAACACTAAAATGCAATTTACATTAGAATGTTCATATTTTAATATTCTTTAAAGATGAATCATGAGTAATTACCAATAGTTGATTCAAATTACAAAAATCATCAAAATTGAGCTATAAATAAATCACTGCCAATGTTTCAGGGCTTTTCTTCTTCACCTTCTTGTTTTATGCAATCAGCATAGTAGCCATCGTCCTTTTCTACATCTATTATGCCAGTGTAAGTATGCCAGAAAGTGTGTTGTAAGTTATTTTACTAAAACTTTTAGAAGAAGTTGTTAAGAAATATCTTTTTAAACAACTGAGAAAAAGGAACAGCATTGTTAATACTAAAACAAATTTTATAAATAAATTATTATGCGAAATTATTTTTCTGTTAAGTTTTTAAAACTTCTCCTTGACATGTGTTACAGGGTGATTGTGCTCTTCACAAGTTCTTTGTGTCTTTCAACATGATTTTGTGTGTTGGTATGAGCATTGTGGCAGTTTTACCCAAGATTCAGGAACGTAAGTAGATCTATTTTTCCACCCTTGAGGCCGAACTCTGAAGTATAATTTTTTTTGTACTTTGGTTATTTTTTTTTTCAATTTTCTTTTTTTTTAAAACATATTTTTGTAATGCTGAAAAAGTTATTTGGTTTTGTTTTTTTAAATATTTATAATGCATTGTACTTTTCATACATACTAATTTTTTTTTTTCTAATTTGTATTATTTATAGATTAGATTTAAAGTTTATTATATAATATATAGAGGAGGGGGATTTAAAAATATTTTACATTATGAGTAGCAGAAATGACTTTTTATTTGAATGTATATTGTGCTCTAGTGTAGATAAACTCAATAAAAATTGCCATTAATTTGAACCTTCTACAGACCAGCCCCGCTCTGGCCTCCTGCAGTCATCATTGATAACAGCTTACATTATGTACCTGACCTGGTCAGGCATGTCCAACAATCCAGGTCACTTTTTTATTTTACCATAAATGTTTATATTAATAAATGCTAAACTACTCACATCTGTGTGATATATTTAGAGTGGTAGGGGGAGCAGGCCCTCGGGAGTGTGCATTTTTTAATGTAAATATAGTTAATCTACTCTAATTAAATTGTATGTAACTGGGCAGCAGTATCAAAAGTATTTCACCTCGGGCAGATGAGGCTCGTTAGCTGGGGACAGCCACTCTTACTAGGAGAGACAACTCCAAAATCAAACAACTGCTGCCTTGTAGTTTGTTCTTGGTTGGACAAAGGCTATGGAAGCAAATCCAAAAAGAAAAGCAGGCTGAATTGAAGTCAATGGCGCATAACCAGTTGACACATATCCTTAATTGTGGTGGAGGTGTGGTTGAGTTGGCAAAAGTTCATGGTTGATAAAATTAGAAAAAATCTCAAGTTCAAACCCTCTGGCAGATAAGGCTCGATCCCATCCAACACTAAAAAATTAAGAACAAAGAAGAAGAAGAAGAAAAAGTATTCACTAGTCTATTAGTAGTAGCTACTCTTTTGCTCCAAGTACTAACACTGTACACAGCTGTTTATTGAATTTCCATTTAAATTATGTTGTTGCTATTTACCTACCCGGAAATAAAAATTTGAAAGAAGTTATAATTATTCCGCTAAAATTGAAGGAATTGTGAATCATCGACATGTTCAATTGAAATTATGATTTTTTTTCTATTTTTTGCAGATCGTTCCTGCAATCCATCTTTGAAGTCAATCTTCAATTCGACGTTAATCCCAGGTGGTCAAGACAAATCCAGCTCTGAAAATGTTTTTGACTGGGAAAATATTCTCTCTCTGTTTATTTGGCTTTTTGCTATTCTTTATTCCAGGTAAGAAAATATGATTTAATATTTTCAAAGATGTACATTTTATTTTCTTATTTTTTGTGTTTTTTGTTATATTAAATATTTTTATATACATTTTTAATCTAATTTTTATTTAAAAAAAAAACTACGATTCTTGTTATTCTATTATTTTAATATTTTCAATGTTTGTTGCTGGTGTTCTCTTCTTCCAAAAGACCTTGTATTTTATTAATATTGTACAATTTTTGTTTTGAAATCAACAGTTTATTATGTTTAGTCACTTTGTTGTACTTTGCAAGAGATAGACACCTTGATAAAAAGTCATTTTGTGTTTTGCAACCATGTTCTTTTAAAATTACCTTATACTTAACCCAACTTGACTGAATCCTTACATAAACAATGAACTGCTTCTTTCAAACTATTCATTTTACATTGTTTAATCTGCATTTTTATTTAGATGTTAAAATTTGTTCAATGTCTTATGAAATCGTTTGTGTGATAAAATTTCAGAATATTCTTTTGTTTTTCCGCAGTAAATTTAACATAAAATTTTAAATTCCTATCTTGAATGTTTTTGAGATATATCACTGTGAAAATTGTTTTTGTTATATGGAAGAAATACTTCTCACCTATTTATTTGCTTACATTTGTTTTTCTGTATTCAAACAGTATTCGTACCAGTAGCAACAGCCAAGTTGGGAAGCTAACTATGTCAGAGAAGACAATCCTACAAACTGATACTGGTGAGTCTGGGTTGCTTCCCTTTATAAAGTGTAAATTATATTCCATTAGATTATATAATAGAGAATTTAGATTTGTTTTAATGAGGCATGTACCAGTAGTGTAGCATTTGTGTTGTTTAATTGTTTTTTTTTGTTTCTAATTCATTCCTGTGTTGCACAATATTTATTTCCTTGTTTGTATTCTGCTGATTATAATTAACTTTTATATCTGTTCGGAATTGTTGTACAAAGAATTAAGTACTGTTGTTTAATATCAGTGTTTAGCTAGTTTTTCTGTAGATTCTACAGTTTAAGATATCATTCTAAAATATTTCAATGAGAAATAATTTCTTTAAATGTTCTTTACTTGAAAAATTATGCTGCCTTTTAAAAGTACTGGTTTCCTTGTTTTAAGTTTTAACATTCTAGTAGTTTAAATGTTTTAAAAAAAAATAATTTGTTTAAGCTGATTTGATGGTACAATTTCTTAACTGACAATTTTAAAATTTCACTAGTTTTTGGTTGGGCTTAGCTAATTAGTTGTTTGAGTTGTTAAAGATTTATAGATATAGACTGTTTTTGTCTCTGTTTTTTTTTTGTTGTTGTTTTTTTAAAGTTATTTAATTTTCTTTTGTTTTCCTCCACCCTATTTATATTTAAAGCAACAACCAAAAGTAAGTTGAGAAAAATAAAAGCTAATAATAGTATACTTAACAAATATATTACAGTTTTCTATACATTTTATTCTTTATCTAATATGTTTGCCTAGATGCCATAATTTTCAGTAATGATGAATTTCAAATAGAAAATGTTGATAAGCAAATAGACTAAGATGTTGAATTTCAGTTTCTAGATGTATTCAATGAATGCATTCAATGAATGCTTGCAGTGATTTTTATGTACACTATATTTGAGTAATGTCTTTAAAAATCTATTTAAATTTTATTTTGTTTAATGTGCCATTCAGATTTTTATATTCTAAATCAATAAATTACAAAGTTATTACTCAGTTTTAACAATGCTAATGAGTTTAATTTTAATACAAACCTTGTACTATCAACTAATTGCAGGTAAATAATACGAAACTATTACTTTTCAAACCATTATTTTGGTGCTTACTTGGCTTTGTTTTTAGGCACCATTGTAGTTTTCTGTAAAGTCACTTAACCTATATTGTTATAGTTTGTTCATTTGGCACAGTTCTCTATTTTTATACTTCTCACTATTAAGCTGAACACCCTGATTATAGTTCTCAGTAGTAATTTAAGTTTACAAGCAGCACAGTTATTGCCCTTGTTTTACATTTCTTAGCTGTAATTTGTTTAAGAAATCAGCATATCCTTATTAGTGCCCAAGACACAGGGTGCAGATAAAGCAAAGTTCATCTGCTTCAAAGACCTCGGCATATGAAGGGATAGCGTGGTCAGCACTATGCCCAGCCACCTTTGTTTCCCTTACGTGAGTAGGTACCCATCAGAGCTGGGTGAACTCAGGGACATTCTACTGACTTTAATCCGGTTTCGAACTCGAGACTCAGGTTAGCAGTCTAACTGTCCACTACTAGGCCATGCGTCCAATATTATTAAGAAATGGTTTGTTTTAATTAATGGCTGAGAGTAAGGTCATTGGAAGTCAACACTATAGGTCATTCTGGGACTGTAAGGTCAGGAAATTTGTATGTGTTCTACTTTATTTGATAGTAAAATTTATTTTTAATGAATTTATCTGTGGTAAATACATTTCTAATGTGTAGAGAGGGTTTACAAATTAATAAAAAAAAAATGAATAGCTATAGTTGAAACAAATGTGTATAAAAAAATCATTGCAATTGATAGCATTTTTACAGATTATAGTTTTTTTTTTTTTAATTTCAATTAACATGCATGATCACAGGGTTAGAATTTTAGTTACTGGCTTAGTAGTCTTATTTTGTAGTATTTACAATTTACTGATACATTGGATGGCAAAATAGGCATGGTTTTATGGAGATATCAATTTGTACAGTTCTTACCTTTGCATGTAACTCTTGCATGTTTGAGGTTAATAATGTAATGACATATTCTGCCTTTGTCTGTCACTACACTGTTGAATTGTGTATACAACTAAAGGTCTTGTAATGGCAATGTTTGTTTCTATTAGTTATATTATCAATCATGCTTGCCTTAATCATTACAATAACAAGTAGAGTATAATTTACTATATGGTAAGACATAGTAACATTGGCTAGCACGCTGCAATGCTGCAAATCACAATTTGAAAATTATTTTAACTTACTGAAGTCCCCAGAATTTCCTAACTATTTGTTTTCATTTTTGTACACGTTTATTTTCTTTAAATGAATGATTTAATCATTGCATTTAGATTTAATATAAATCATTTTCTCATCGCTTTATTTTGTTTCATTAACTTAATTAATTTCATTTTTGTCTAGTTCCAATGGATACTAGACAAATAGGTTGATACATTGTAGCCAAAACAAATTTTTAAATGGTTTCAAATTCTCCTTTTCAATTTGTTTTAGTCACTGAATTCCCTGTAGCTATGTATTGCCTACAGAGGTAGTCCATGAAAAACGTCTGATGTTTTGTAATAATGGCGGGGGGAGGGGAATTGTCAAAAAGCTGGATATTATTTATGAACTACCCTGCTTTGGCAAGGATGTAATCAGAAGGAAGTTAGAAGCAATTGACATAAATCAGTTAAATAAGCTTACACAGTGCTATAATTATTGACTTCTGTTTGTAATTTAGAAACCTTGAATTATTAAGACAGATAGTAATATTTATTTATAACATAATAGTCCAGGCACAATTTAAAAATTTTCTTTAAAATGTATGAATAAAATTTTAGTTTCATTTTTTCATTCACTTGTATAGCATTTTAAAATTGGACTATAGTATAAGTAGTCACTTTTATGGTCTAATTTTTTTTCAACAAAAAAAATACACACAGGCAAACGCAAAAACTCAAGCGATGAGAATTTGATTGGTGAGTAATAAAGTTCCCTGAAAACTTTGTAGTACCCATGAGTTGAAGACTAAAACTTTTTTTGATGTACATGTTTCATTTATTCCGATTGTTGCTTTTCAGTTAACAGTTTAATAATATCAGATGGTTTTGTACTGTTAATTGTAAAAAAGGCTGCATGATTTTCACTTTTTAACATAAAAAAGAACAATTGTATACAAACATATACAAGATGCATGTTTCAATATAAAAGCTATTGATGTTAAATTGCAAAAATCTGTATGTAATCCGGAAACCTTTGAAAATGCTTAGTAGTGCTATACATATAAAATATATAAATATCATCTCTCATGATGTATGAATGCACACATTCTCTAAAAAAAGTAGATTAAGTTGGATTCTCTTATAATGTGCCCCATTTTAATAACAAATCTTTTAAGAAATATGTCCAGAATACTACCATTTTTTCAACATTGTATTCTCCAGATATGAAATTCTTAATCTAATTGTTGTCATAAGGTTCCTACTTTATCTACCATCTTACTTATTGTTATGCACTTTTATAATACTACATTATTTATTGATGAGAAAAATGGCCCGTTGAGGAAGGATACAACGGGCGCTAGGTTTATAGTGCGGTCTATTTTCTCTAAACTAAAACCAAAACCAAAATCACCACCTTAATTAAATTTAACCGGAAACGAAAAATGACATTGAAAACGGATTTTTATCCTGAATGGGTACTTTAATTTATACAAAATATAGTCATAGGCATATCCCTAAACCATGCACCTAATCTCATTCATGACAAAAGTCACATTTAGAGTTTCTTTCAGGCAACTGTACTTGGGAGGAGGGGGCTCTGCCCCCCCTCCCCCCCCTTCGCCCTTTCCCGAAGAATTGTATGAAAGAAACTCTTCACGCAAACCACTTTTAAGATTAGACAAAACTGGCTTTTTAATTCAATGTTTACTCAAGAATCTATGACGTCATTTTATTGTGTGCACTCCACCGGCTTTAGACTTTCCCACTATATTAAGCTTCATGTGACGTCATGTTTCGTTTTACTGTGAAAGTTTTTATTTGGATTGTGTTTTCTCTATAGCTTTCTTGTCAGATACATAGACAGACAGCGAAACTATTAGTATAGATGTATTAAGTAATTTTTAACAGTTGTTTTTTAAGCTCAGAAGTTAAAATTATCTGTATTTTGATTGAAATAGTTCAATATCAGTAACTTTCTTAATTTTTTTAGTCTTTTTGTTAAGCTAACCCTCTCCTTTCATAAAGAAAACTTAGGATAAGGACAACAAAGACAGTCTTTTCAATATCTCTCTTTTTAGGATTTTAATGAAACATTTTAATAGATGAATAACTTTAAAAGACCCCTCTACTATATTATATGAGAGAAAAAAATTGGGAATCTTTAACCTTTGACATTAGACACTCTGCATTCCCGTTCCAAATATAGGGGGGGGGTGTAAAGATTATAAGGAAAATGTGAGTAGATATTGTGTTCAGTCTAGTTGTTGAGAAAGAATACCAAACAATAGAGGAGTGAAAGTGGTGTATAACCAAATCCCCCAAGGTAAAAGAACAAATGACAGGCCTAGGCTGAGATGGATAAGTACACCAAAATAATCAAAAGTACACCATATATGAAAGGGACGGAGTCGGGTTCAAGTCAGTAGACCGTTCCTGAGTCCACCCAACTCTGATGGGTACCTAACTCACATTAGGGAAAGTAAAGGCGGCTGGGCATAGTGCTGACCACACTATCTCTTCATATGCCGAGGTCACAGAAACATAGACCGTCAGGTTTGAAAGGGAAACTTTACTTTTTACACCATATATGAAACTAATAGTCACATTATCAAGCACATTATAACACTTTTAAAAACTGGCTTACGTATTGCAGTTTATTCAAAAATCATGCTAATAGCTTACGAATAAAATATTCTGTCTAATGCTCGAACTTCTAAAACATATAAAATTAACAGAGAATCCCGAATGAGCTGTTATAACAAACTAAAAACTCTCCCGATGTTAGGTAATAAACATTTTGTAACATTGAAAAGAAAAACAACCATTTTCATTGCTTTGTAGTGTAGTGTACATTTTTTTTGTTTTAGCTAGAATGCTTATTCTGCTCTTTTTCTTCGCAGATCTAGAATTACTGAAATTTTTTACTTCTCGGTTTAACAAAATTGAGTTTGACTATAGCATTTTGTTCTCCTTGTTTCCATATTAATACTACATTGGATATTTTTAATGTTAAAGTGACTTCATAGCTTTAAAAAAAAATTAAAATGCAGATGTATTTGTTACCAAAAAATTGAATATCAAATTTTGATCTGTATATTTTACATGATATGATCGGATTGCTAGATTAATAATTGTTATGGGCAGACATAACTTAGAGTTGAATTGTAAAGCCTAACTTGGTTATTCAGGATAGAAAACATGATAAAAGTGCCTTATAGTAGCAACTTTAAAGATAGTTGTTTTGTAGTCAATCAAGGAATTAATTAAATTGCTTTATCACTCTGTAATGAGTAGGTCACTGTGAGGTTCAGTAATATGAAATAAAATAGTTTATTTTGTTGTTTGATGTATATTTGTTGACAGTGCAGGTTTCACTCTTAACATTATAAGCATGCTTGTTCTGACTATTTAAATTCAAACAATAAGGGATTTCTCTGATTATATATAAACAGAAAAACACCAGTCAAGATTTTCTTTAAAGTAAACAATTTAACAACTTTAAATGTAAAATACAAGGATTAAATTACTTAAATCATCTTTTAATTTAGTTATCAGGTGGTTTTTTTGTTTTTTAATTTAAATACAACTCATAAATTATAGAATAAGCCAAAAAATTTTTTATATGTGACCTTTTTTTACTCACCCAAGCTAATGTGAAAACTAATTACTCTTGAAAATTATTGGGCATGTAACTGTAGTCAAATTGTACTAAAATACAAGGTTTTAACAAATGATATTCTGTGTTTTCAGGCAGTTCAGACGGCGATGCTGACTCAGAACGAGGGCAGAAAGTCTGGGATAACGAGGAAGAGGGCGTGGCCTACTCCTACAGTTTTTACCACTTCATGCTATTTCTGGCATCCCTGTATGTCATGATGACCCTGACTAACTGGTTTAGGTAAGTATTGTTAAATTGATAAAATACCTCCCAACTAGGTGCTTAACCGCTAACCTGAAAGTCAATGATGCAATCCAATAGTGGTTGTCTTGGTTCAAGTGGTTACTTCTTTTATTTTGAACTCAAGTTCAGATCTCAGGCTCAAGGCTGTAAGATGTCCTTGAGTTCAATCAGCTTCAACGGGTACCTAACACACATTAGGGAAATCTTGACGGCTGGGCTTAGTGCTGACCACACTATCCCTTCATAAGCTGAGGTCATTGAAAAAGATGAACTCTACTTCATATGCCCCATGTTTTATGTTACAATATACATTTGGTCAATCTTTGCTAACGTCATACATTTGCGCAGTTTTCTGTTGCGCAACTTTCCTGTCACCAACCGGGACGGTATGCTCAACTTATGCAAGTGTAATTTTTCAAACATGCAATATTTTAATTCTAGGCTATTTAATCTATGTATATCCCACCTCACTTTGTTAAAGATTTTGACATCGTAACATCTTTTTAACAATTTGTGAGAATAATTATATCATAATAAATTAATTTTTTTTTAAAATTTTATGATTACTGTACTTATCTTTGTTCATATTTTGTGTTTATTAAAAAAGTTATATATTAACCTCATTAACTTTCTTTTAAAATTTGTTTGCTTGCAGTCCATCTTCAGATGTCAAGCACCTAAATGCCAACATGGCATCTGTGTGGGTCAAGATCTCGTCCAGCTGGATCTGCGTCATCCTCTACGTCTGGACGCTGGTAGCCCCGGCTATTTTAAGTGACAGAGAGTTCAGTTAAATCCCTTGGCTGAAATTCCCTCCCTTGAAATTCATCCCCAGTAAAGGCACTATTGGGATTTGAAAAACTGGTACCTCTAAATGCTCATGCAACCTGGCTAAAATAAAAATGTGACCAAAACTTCTGTAATAAATCAAATCTTGAAAATTTTTACCTCTGTGAACAGAGAACAACTGTTATTTAGAAACTAAGTTAACAAAGCTTGTTATAAAAACTGCCCGCACCCCCTTTCTCCACACCCACTAGAGCCCCAACCCTTGTAGAGTACCAAGTCAATAAACATTATGTCTTTAATATTCTGGAAAAATGTAGTGTCACTCAGATTCCTTGTACATTTTTAAAAAAAAATATTTAAGTGTGCTTTTTGTAAATAGTAACTGGCTTAATTTTTATTTATAAAGAGCAGATGGACATTTTTTTTAGGTTTGCTTCGCACACCAAATCTTTACTTAAGTTTATAATTCTAAAACAGTATATTTGTTAAATTAAGTTTATATTTCTGAAACAGTATATTTGTTTATTATAACGGATTTATTTTTCATTTTTGATATTTTATTAATATTGCTCCTGCTTAGTTTATTGTTTACGTTAAGTTCAATAAGTTGCAAGCTGATGACAGGACTTTTTTTTTTTCTTTCCAGTCAGTGTTAAAAAATTAGTTTTAATCTTTCGAAAAAAAAAAAAAAACTCGTTACTCAACATCCTAAAGCTTGTTATATCATAACTTAATATAACATCAACTTGGACCTTCACGCTTTTATAAAATTCAAAGCATTGTCCCTTTGTTTTTCTTTCAAAGTAAGCTTAGTTCTCACACAGCACTTTGATGTTACAAATGAAATATGTGTATCAATGTGATAACGCAAGAGTTGGGTAGACTTATTTTACTCTGTGTTGCTTCAACATATTGGTGTCATTTTTAAAAATTGTGTTAGAATGTTTAGGTATTGTAAAATTTAAAAAATATATGAGTGAGTTTATCGCTATCTAATATTGGTATTGAGTTTTTATCGGAGTGAAGAACTATGTATCCGATCCATTGCAAGCTAATACAAAAATTGAAGGAATATCTGGTGACTTTATTAATGATGCACAATAATAGTAAGAACTTTTTACTATATTAAATTTGTAACTATTTTTTTTAGTTTATTTTCCATCGGCCAGTGTAAATTTTACTATTCAATCTATTAGCTCTATAAATTTATATTGCAGGTAATATTTTTAAAATTCTTTAGTTGATTTCTTTCATTTTGTAATTTTCAACAATTTCTAAAAAAATAAAATGAAAATCAAGCATAATTTGAAATTTTGATATACTTTTGGATTTTTCATTTTGTAACTGCAGTTTGACCATAATCATTTTAATGTATATAATTTGTGGTATTTGTGAAACCAAAGTTTGTTCATAATCTATATATATAATTCTCTTCTTCGAGCCGTTAGAAAACAAGCTGCAAACGCTCTCCCTACCTCCCCACCCCTACATGGTTTTAGTGAGCTGTGTTCACTCTAAATGTTTACAAGCAGAGCCAACGATTTTAAACGTAGGGGGGGGGGGGGGGGGAGGGGGGGGAGGGGGGGAGGGAAGGAAGGGGGGGGGGTTATGGTCCTTAACGAGCTACTTATAGTGTTTTAAAGAAATATTTTCAGTGTCAGCGTTGGTACTGTCGAATTCACAAATTATGAATTATTGAAAATTAGAAACAACTAAATAGCGGCGTATGTTATGCCGCGGGCCGGCTCGTTGTATTATATTTTACTACAGACAAGAATGATTAAACAAAAGTTTTGATGACTCCATCATAACACCAGGGGAAAGATTTTTTTGATAAAATTTTTGAAATAGGTCTACTCAAAATATAAATACTCAAAGTGATCCAACAGACCTCTTTTGATAAAATATGGAATCAAAGAATGAACCAAATGTAAAGTGGACATTACCTTTGTCGTGACATCTTAAAATGTTTTTTGTAGTGTGTAGTTTGTGTTATGTCTCTGTGGCTTATAAACATGAATAAAATGTTTTTAATATTTCACTTGTAATTTTGTTTTAGTTTATCAGTGACTAGCAAAAACTAAAAAAGCTACCATCATGTTTCAAAGTGTGATTTGTGTCATGAAGAGTGCTATAAGCAGGAATTTGACATGGGGAGGGGGGGGGGGGAATGTCAGAAATTGAAGCCACTGCAATTTGTAATCATTTTTTTAGAATTTGAATGTAAACTGATAGGATATATGAGTTCCATAACAAATAATCTAAACTTAAAAATGAGACAACTTCAATTTTTGGGGTCCATTGGAACGGGTTCTAGCACACTTGGCTTGTACCACTGATCATTCACCTGTGGTATCCATTTAAAAAAAAAGTATTACTCGCAGGAATTATTTAATGTATGGCTATGAGAATAAAACTATAGAGTACTTATATTTTAAAAACTAATGGTATAAAATATGATGCGGAGTTAATCATTGTAAGATCACCATTTTATTCAGATTACATTAAATGCAGCAAATGGTTATTTAAAAAAAATGTTTCACTTGTTGTAAAAACAATTTCATAAACGCAGAGATAAGAGCCTACATTTTTATACATTAAAAAAAAAATTCAACTCTTCTTTTAAAGAAGCATTTTACTTAAATGAATGTTGACACATATGGTGAATAATTATATATATATATATATATATATATATATATATATATATATATATATATATATATATATATATATATATATATATATATATATATATATATATATATATATATATGTAATTGTATGTATATATATATGTATATATATACATACACTCACACAAATAAAACACTTGAAAAATACTTTAAGATAAGGCTGATAACAGTAAATTATTTAAAACTTTCTACAACTTAAGGGGACAATTTGATGTTCCATCTAATTATGGACCTGAGTTTGAATGTAGTAGCAAATAGTAGCACAAAGTTCCTGTATTTTAACAACTATTTAAAGTTTATTAATTATTACAGATTAGTTCAATAATACTTTTAAATTATTCTACATTCAAATCTTTTCTTAGAGCAACCAACCAACGTGAAGTTAAAATGCATTAGATAACAAAAAAAAAAGCCCAATTTGCTAACAATTTTAAAGTGTTACAGGTGTGTGTGATTAGGCTAAATAGTATTCATATATTCCTAACAAAACTTCAAATGATTATTTTAACAGTTTGAAAGCTTTAAAAAACTGTTGTACATCAGATTTTCTATATGGTTTCACAGCTAAACATGTTGGCGTATTTTCAGGCTGTTCTATCCACAACTTGTGACCAATATTGTGTGACGTTAGATTCTCTGCTAGCTTTGTAATGCTCTCTTCATCTTTGGCCTGAAAGTACAACAAAGATGAACGTAGGGGAATTAGATTTTAATTTTATAAATACTTTTAAATGCTGTGATTTATGGAAGTCTAAGGAAAAATGTACCTATGTTGATTTACATGTAAATCTTTTTAAAACCACCTATTTAGTGATGATCATAAGTAACCTCTTAACCAGAATGCCTGTCTTCGTACATAAAAAGAAGTTACTGTTTTGTGCATTGGTTTAGTAATTCTTTAACTTTCTGCAGCAAATGTATTCTACCGATAGATCATGCCATTATTCTATTGCTACAACTTAAAGACTGTGATATGCAACAAACAAGTTACACATTCTGATCTGGCGGTCAGTCCATTATAAATAGAATTGACCACACAGAAATGGGGGAACTCTACTTCATCTGCCCTGTTGATATGGCATACCTGTCTACATAATTATAACAAAAGGTATCAAATAGATTCTATATCTAGTAAAGTGAATTAATTTTCTGAATTGGCAGTATTTTAAACTATTTTACAGTTAATTATTACTGCTACTTCTGTTGTGCTTCTAGACTGTCTAGATTTAGATCTAGAAGCTAATAACAAATCCGATATTCATCTGTAAAATTTGACTGTATCAGTTATTTATTTTAAATTTTAGTAATTAGATAGCAATTACAAAATTAGTTGTTTTTTTTTAAATTAAAATTAGGTCTAATAGCCTATTAATATTATTGTTTTAAATACCTCTAAAATGATTTTATGCATTCTATCTAGTTCGCCAAGATACTCTTTTGTTGTATCATCGTTGTAATACAGATGAATAACCGCTGTACAGGAGTGACATGCTTGAGCGATTACAGCTCCAATAGGCCACTGCAATTTTGTGATGAGGTCGCCTCTAACTACAACATACTGCACTATCGGGCTGACGCTCATTTTAAAAAAAATTATTCTCTGTAGGCTTAATCTGTAAGGATAAATAATTAAATATTACTTGATTGAGAAGCAAGAATAAGCAATACTAAACTAAACTTACTAACTAAAAATTACTAGGCCCCTAATAAATTTTAATATTTAGGCCTAATGCTTAAACAAGTTATACTTAGTAGGCCTAACTAGTAGAATTAAAGTGTCAATTTGTAACATTATTATTCTAATAATTACTTTTTAATTAGGCCGAGTAAGAATAATTGATTAGGCCTACAATTAATTAGTATTTGTCATATGATTGTAGTAACTACCTACTACATGCAACCAAACACCTCAATTTAGGTACGTAAAATCAGCAGAGGCTAGTAATGTGCGAGAAAGGTGGCTCATTAATATGGCTTTAATACAAGTATATTATTATATTTTTGTGTCAAATATAATAATCATTATCATCATTCCTTTGTGGCCCCTGGGGAGCAAAGGGCTGCAACCACACATCTCCAGCGGACTCGGTTTTGGGCTGCCCCCTTTATCTGTGACCATGTGAGCCCGTCAAATATAATAGATAACTAAATAAAATACCAAAAGCAATGTCTAAATATATCAATAAAGGCTAGAAATTGACTTAAAACAGCCTTGTTTGCTAGCAAGATTTGCTATATAAACAGCTGCCATCTGTAAATTAGAGTGGTTTTCCCTGAATCTTTAACTAAAATGTTACCAAAAAAACAAGAAGGCTTCTAAAGTAAATGAGCTTGGTTGCATCTGATGAAAACATCGCTAATCTTTATTTATTACTGAAATGTTTTAGGCCGATGCTAGCCGGAAAAAATACGCATGGGCAATGGAGAGAAAATACAACGCCATTGCTGTGATGTTTTCGATGGTACTGCGCATGCGTGTGTTTACAACCGCAGAACCCTAACCCCAACCCTAATGCTATCTCTAACCCTAGCCCTAATCCTAGCCATAGATCACTGCGCATGCGCAGAACTATCTTTTGCCGACTAAGTGGAGACATTGAGGAGAAGCCTCTGCCGATTTTACGTAGGCTACCTACAACACTACAACGTTAAGACGATAGATTTATTTTTAAAATTTTTATTTTATTTAATTTATAATTATTATAAAAAATATAGATCTAGAATCTAGATCTAGTTTCTTCTAGAGTTCTAGATCTAGAATCTAGAGTAGATTACCAACACCGCCTCTTGCCTCTAATCATTTACTCTCTAAATTTATAAGATTATCGGACTATGGTATAAAAAAAATCTCCCACTACCAGAAATAGTCTAGATTTACTATTCTCGATCTAGAACTAGAATAGATCTACTACTAATCTAGGATCTAGATTCTACGTCCTACGCTCTTGTGTTGACGTTTGCGAAAGTTCATTGATTCTTCTTTAACTTGGATATGAAAGTAAAACTGAAAGTACTCTAAAAAATATAAAGTCAGTAGCCCATAGAAATGAATCAAATACTGAAGAAAGCGCCCAAAATTAATATTATAGCGCCTAATTAAAATCTTTTAAAATATAATCCAATTGAATATAATATAAAATCAAGTTTAATTTTAAAAATCAATATTATTATTAATATAGATCTATATTCTATGAGTAATCTATCTATTGATGTCAGTCATTGTCATTAGATGATCTAGATTCTAATTTTATATATAGATCTCTAGATCTAGTTCCAATCCACATTTTGTATGTAACATTTCTTTCTGTTTAGAAAGGGGTTGAGTCCTGGCAGTAGATCTCTACAACAGTGACAGTGACACTCCTTCTCAGTTGTGAGTTGAGTTAGTCCCGTAGGCCGTATGCCCTACGCCGTACTTTCTACGTACTTTGAGTCTGAAACGTTACAGTACTCAACTCAGTAGTACTGTACAGTGAGTACACTCATTACTCATTACAGTTGAGGACAACATCGATTCCATATTATTTCGGAGACCCTTTCCTTTTGACAAAAAGTCAAAAACGATTCAAAACAAAAGTTTTGTTTTGATTAGATGAGATTCAATAATCATCAAGTCTAAACGTAGAAGTTAGACTAAACTCTAAACTGGATTAGAAGTAGATACTAGATCTAGTAGATAAGCCTATAGATCTAGATCGCAAAGATAAATAAAATCCAAGGAAAAACAGGATGTTGCCATTCACACACCTCACACTTCACAGTGGTCTATCAGCACACATTTGCACCAAAAACAAATCTGCAACCATATCCCTACACAATAATACAATAAGGATATAAAAAAATAACATCCACCCAGAGGCTGAGATGAAGGATGCATTAGGGTGTAACAATTTTGTCTCCTGTTTTGGTTAAAAATGATATTCTGAACTTTCTGTTCACAGATGGTCAACTGTTATAATGAACAGCTGGGAGTGGAAACTGAAACTTATCAGTCATGCCTGCCAGGCTTACTTCTTCTTCTTCTCGTTCCTTGCATTTGCTATCACCCTGTTTCTGACACTTCCATTTGTATGTGATGATGATTTGGAAGCCCTTCTCTGGATGAGGATTCTAGCAGGATTTTTGTTTTTCAACATGGGAATTAATTACCTGTTTGTGAAGTATAAATCACGCTATTCAGTTTTTAAACCTAGCATCTCAGATTCATCACATTTTGCTGTAAAGGATAAGAACATTTTTGGGTATCGACTTCAAGGAGGTGATGAAGGTAATATAGAAAATGGAAATCAATATCCAGATACTTCACAGTGGCATCTTGACCAGCAGTCGAAAAATATATCAAACCAGTACCAGTCATATTTCACATACAACTCAGATTATAGTGATGTTCAAAACCCTTATAATGCTGAAGTTATCAACAAAAAAGAACACATTTTTGGAAATAAACCGTCATCCTCTCAAAAGTTTGATGGGTGGCGTTATTGTAAAGACTGTGAACATTCAGCCCCTCCTAGATCCAAACACTGCCCGGTTTGTAAAGCTTGCATCCTGAAACGTGATCACCATTGCTTCTTTGTTGGCTGCTGCGTTGGCTATCATAATCAAAGATATTTTACCATTTTCTGCCTGTATGGAGGATTGGGAACACTTTACAGCTCCCTCGCCTTGTACTACTACCTTGAATTGCATTACAAACAGGCACAAACTTGGGGGTGCCTCTCCTACTTCCCACTAATGATTCTTTATTACTGGGTTACATCTAATATCAGTGGCACCATATTTTCTCTGGTTATTTTTCAGTATTTAAGCATAGCAACGATATTATTTTGTTTCTTTTACCTATGTGTTCAAGTTTTCCTGACCTATTCTGGTCAGACTAGATACGAGTGCATGAAAGGGATTAAGCTGTACAAAAGGTCTCGTAAGAAAAATATTGAATCTGTATTTGGAAAATTCTGGATTATTAACTTCCTCTTGCCCATTCCATGTTTTGGTTATTCTGGTAATGGCATAGACTGGGATGATATGTTAAACAGGGGAAAAATCCTATAAATAAATTTGGTTGGTAGTCCCATCATAAATATGGGAAAAGTTCTTTGAAATGCTCAAGTTAGAGGCTTACCATGATTGTCATAGTTTGAAATTTAAATGATTTACACAGTGGCGTAGCCAGGATCTTCAAGGGGGGGGGGGGGGGGGGGGGTGGGTTCCAATTTTTACCCGGGGACAAACTTTCGATTTGCACCCCCCCTCATACTTTATGTATATACCGAGGGGTCTATGGGGGGGGTTATGACGCCCCCTAACCCCCCCTGCCTACACCACTGGATTTACATATAGCCTTTCATTAATAGCGTATCATCAAATATTTACTTCCATGTTCCTGTTTTAGATTGTGCAAAGTCTTAGCATGTCAATTTTATTTTTTTATGGTGCAGGAATATAACCAATAGCAATATGTTGAAATCATATTATCTTTTGATTAATGGTTATTCTGTGTCAAGGTAATTTATTTTTGCACTTTTCATTAGCACTTTTTTTCATCAAATTTATTGATTTTGCTGAAGCACATTGCTAAAGTTTTGTTATTTATTTTAAGATATCTGTGATATATTCGCTGACACTTTTTTTTTGTTGTTGGCCTAAATTTACTTTTAATTAATTAGTTGCTGTTATATTTTTAACCTTCCATTGGTGCAAACTTCTAATAATCAAACGCAGCATTGTATTTAGTTAAAAAAAATTTCATTTTTTTATTGCCAATAAATATTGTTTCAGTGCTTCCTTTTAATTAATCAAAATTTTGTACTGCTGTATAGTTAAAGTGTTTAGACAACAAATATGATTTTAAAGTTGGCAAAAAGAAATATTTGGAATCAATGTCTTTTAGCATTTTTTTTTCATCTTCCTGGCTGTTATAACGGTAGCAAAAAAAAAGTTTAATGAGAAAACTTGTTTACAGCATCATAAGCAAAACTGTTTAAAATTTTCAATAAAAATTATTATATATTACTCATGTTAGTAATATACATTTTTACTTTTTGTTAACCAAATTAAATTGATAAATTAAATAATAATCATTAAAAAAGTTTTAAAAAACCCACGTTTTCCGATTGAACTAAAAAGTAGAAAATAAATACTGTACATCACAATAATGCAAGCGATCACTCTACTATAAGCGATCAAAAACGTGGGGCGCCGAAGTAAAAGTTATATTACTATTGATTAGATAATACTATTGACTTTTATTAGGGAGCTTGTAGAGAGTCAACAGTATTAGAAACTGTAAGAAAATCACGGCGCCCCACGTTTTTGATCGCTTATAGTAGAGTGATCGCTTGCATTATTGTGATGTACAGTATTTATTTTCTACTTTTTAGTTCAATCGGAAAACGTGGGTTTTTTAAAACTTTTTTAATGATTATTATTTTCTACTTTTTAGTCTTTGTCTGTTTGTTTGCATTAAAATCTTGCTATCGATTTTATCTTTTCACTTTTTTTTTGGGTAAACGAAGACAACTCGTAAAAAGACAACTCGTAAAAAAACACGTTGTGTGAATACGTTACTGACTAGAACACATAGATTTGAACCCGTGTCGAGTGGGATAGCAATCGTGTGCCCAACCACTCGACCATATAGTCTCCCCCATACTGGCCACCAGTTGTTAGGTTATGGTTGTTTGTACACAAACACAGCGTGACAACTACTCAGTAAGCAAAAAGAGGGGGAGTGTCGAACCTTGTTTTCATCAAATTACAGTTACTGGGTAATGTCCCTTTTTCCCGACGTTTTTTGGTACAATTATATAGTGGTCTAAAATGATCAATAAAATGTTTCCATGGATTAATTTAGTAATAAAAACAATAGAATATTCAATTGTCATCCAAAACAAAGCTTCCCTGAAAATTTCAGCGCGCTAGCTAACTGGGAAGTGCCAGAAATTTCGATCGCAAGATTGGATTGGAAAGACAAACAAACACAGAAACACAGAAAGACACAGAGAAAGCAAGTTAAAGAAAACGTGGGAAAATCAGTAATACACATGTTACTCATGTAAAGTTTTTGTTTGATTTAATCTTATATATAATATGGTCTGTAGAAAAAATGTAAGCAAATAAAAAAACTTATAGGAATAATAGAAAATTGTTTCAAATAAAATATTCAATGTACAGGTTCCCAAACTTTTTTGAGTGGCAACCCTTTTATAAAAGTCAATGCTACCCATACAATTAAAAAATATTGTGATCGTTTGATTTAGTCTACTGGCGATCCCCAGAAAAGCTTAATGACCCAACACCCCCCCCCCTTCCTACAGGGTGAAATCACCCATAGATTGGGAACTTGTACCGTATACTGTCTGTTTAGCAATAGCAAAAATAAATATGTACACTTACTATCAGTATCGAGAGTAAAGCCACTTTGGTGTGAGAATAAGTAATAAGGCATTTTTTAAAATTAAACATCACATATCCAAGTTGTATTTATTCTACAATCTGTTAAAATGGATCCAAAAGTTAAAATGATCAAGACAATTAGACATTTTTATCACTTAAGCCAAGAAGACCACAGTGTACTAATATTGTTGATAATTAATAGTTTTAAAAATAAAAATTAATATGTAGCTGGCAATGTAAACCTTATCCTATAGAAGGGGTTGAAAAGCATTATTTAAGTAGTAATCAATGAATAGTGATCTTAGACATGTAAAAATTGGAAAATATACATTTACAAGCGCCTTACCCCTTAAAAGCAAAACCCATGCTCCTGTATTAAACTAGCTTTAAAACAAAATGACCATAACATAACAAAAAAACAAATTGAAACAAGTGTAAGTTTTTAAAAATTATGTTATAGACGTGTTTAAGCTGCATCATCGTTGGTTTCTGTAAAAATAACAAAAATCATACTGGAAACTAGCCCAAGATTTTATATAAATAAAACTACTAATTTGACCTCTATTATAATACCTCTGTTACAATATTTTTTTGAGAGTAAAAATTAAAAGATAACAACCATACAAAATACAAGTTTTAAAAATGAAATGTACAAAAAATTAAAGCTATAATTTTTTTTTTAAATTATCTTTCACACTCACATATAGGACAATTTGGTGATGAGTGTTATAAGTACCTATATATAGATTACAAAACAGCATTTTTATTTTAACAAGCAAAAATCTAATAAACTTGCAACAACTTAACAAGAAATATAATTTAATTCTGTTTTTTATACTGTGATTCAACTTTGACTGCAAATTTACTGTAAAGAAAATGGCCAGCTTTCCTTGGCAATATTCTGTAGATAACAATAAAATTGGATAATTGTTTAATACTGATTCTGACAATTATTTAGTAATTATAGTTAAAAAAAAATAATGTGTCCTCTTTAAATAAACCACCAAAAAAATCTACTCACAATAGTACCAAACAATAGTTGAAAGTAATTCATCAGTGTGCACCATGGTAGGTGTAGTGAATTTTAACAGATTAATGTTTATTAAATGCTTCTACATACCCTGTCATGTAAAGTGTAAACCTAGCTATCCAACAAGGCACTGAGACCAGTTCATAGTTTCTTAACATTCCATCTATTCCAGCCAAAGCCACTTCATTTGGAGTCAGAACTTTGCCATATCTGTCAAAGAAATAGTATTAAATTACTTGCAGGTTTTTGATTAGTAAATCAATGAGAAGTAAAAATATTTTACTCAATTGATATTAATGGGATGGCATTCTTCTTCCTTGTTCTTAATGCTAGTGGTGGACGGGATTCCCTCCAACACAATTAAGTCAACTGGTTTAGTGCCATATAGGTCATTGACTTCTATTTCGGCTTGCTTCCATAGCCTTTGTCCATCCAAGAACAAACTACAAGGAAGCAGGTGTTTGATTTTGAAGTTGTCTCTCCTAGAAGAGTTGCTGTCCCCAGCTATACAGCCTCATCTGCCAGAGGGTTCAAACTCAAGACTTTTTGGTATTGCAAACATGAGCTTTGCCGACTCGATCACAGCGAACCTAAGATGGCATTGATATAGTTTATAACAGCAGCAGAAATTGACTGCTGGTCTTTTTGTCTTTTGATGGGGGCAAAAACTTAAGGAATGTTTGGTTATGAAGCATAAAATAATCTATATATACAATTATCTTCAAGGGGACCATACGAGTCACCACCTGTCAGGTGAGCTATGGTTCACCCCGAATGTTTACAATAGTAGAGCCGGTTCGAATAAGTGCCGGCTATTAGGGGCAGATAATTTAGTTTTTAAACTATTTGAAACTAAGGGGAGATAATAAGTTCTGCTTGATATTTTCATTGTCGTCAGTAAAAAGCTGCTTTCACTGGGCTGGGTGGGGGAGGCAGGGGGGGGTGGGGTAGTGTCGAATTCACAAATTATGAATTGTTGATAAGTAGAAAATACAACAACTCGATAGGGGCATATGCCACGTCGTGAGTCAGCTCGTAATAATAATATTTCTAGCTGTGTTTAACCATAAGTAGCCAATGCAGGTAGCATCCTTGATCACAGATATTATTTCAGTCTTATCAATTGAGATTTAACAAAATTTATCTGTCATAGTTACTTGATGGAAAAATTCTTGATAAGGCCAGTGTCAACAAACAGTGGACACAAAGCGGTCATCTTGACATTGGTGTGTCCATCTTTCCTCAGCTCAGCATGCAGAGCTTGAAACAGCCCATAAGCGCCATGTTTGGATGCACTAAATAAGTTGATGGGATTAGAGAAAATAATATATCATTCATATATAAAATTTTTTATTGCTGCAAGTAGTATAAATATGAGAGTATGAATACCATTATTATTATGGGATGGCGTGGCCTACAGGTAAAGAGTTAGACAGCTAACACAAAAATCCAGAGTTCGAATCAAGGTTAAAGTCAGTAAAATGTGCCTGAGTCCACCCAGCTCTGATGGGAAAGTAAAGACGGCTGACCACACTATTCCTTCACATGATGAGGTCAGTGAAACAGATTAACTCTACTTCATCTGCCCCATGTGTCTTGACGAGTGGCAAAAAGATGAGAAATGAATACTATTATAAGTAAAAAAAATAATGCAGTTTCAATCTTATTCTCAAGCAAAAAAAAAAAAAAATAAGAGCATTGGGGTATTTATCATGTATCCAGAATTGACATTTATATAGTTGTATGCTGGCCCCTAGCCAAACTGTATAAAAACTTTCATTACATTTAACCTGGGAATAGTAGCTGGCATGTTAGTAGTGTTAGCTCATATTTGATATTTATGTTGTCACTAAACAAACTTTCACAGAGTACAAAAGCAATAGGTACAGTAATAAATATGACCTCATTATCTGTATGGGTGTTGGAGAATCGCCAGTCTATCAAAGTGGCTATTTTACTGATATCACTACCAGAACCTAACACTACACAATACAGTGATACAGGTAGAAAAAACCTAAATATGATAAATTAATTATAAAATTATCGCTATGTATTCACAACTATAATAGAATTAAACATGGATAAACTATAGAACCCAACTTGATTGTTCTTCTTAATCCCATTTGTGCCCAAGACACATGGAGCATATAAAGGGATAGTGTGGTCAGCACTATGCCCAGCCGCCTTTGTTTCCCTAACAAATACGAGCTGTGTGGACTCAGGGACATTCCACTGATTTGAACCAGGATTTGAGCTCGAGACTCTTGGGTTATCAGTCTAGCTCTCTACTGCTAGGCAACACCGTCCCCTTAAACCAACTACATTACTAACCTGTATTAAACCAACTACATTACTAACCTGTAATCTGTCATCATAATGGCCCCAGTAAGGGCAGCCATGGACAGGACATTCAAAATATGGCCATATTGGTTTTTGATCATTGACGGTAAAAACTCTTTGATCATCTGAGCACAAGAAAACACAAACAATAACACATAAAAAATATAACTGTTATAATTGTTATATTGGTACTTCTATATTCACTGGCAAGGCTATAAAGTATATCAGTATTATCAGATTTTTTATACTAACTAGGGTAGCAAAAATAGCACGAATAGTTTTCATGCTACCATCCTGAGAAATATGGAAGGGTCATAATAAAGGATAAAGGGAGGGAGAGGTCTAGCAGTAGAGAGCTGGACTGCTAACCTGTTAGTCTCGAGTTCGAATCTTGGTTTAAGTCAGTAGATCGTCCCTGAGACCACCCAGCTCTGATGGGTAACTAACTCATGTTAGGGAAAGTAAAGGTTGCTGAGCATAGTACTGACCACACTATCCCTTCATATGCCGAGGTCACAGAAACAACTGAACTCTACTACACTTGCCCCATAGACCGTCAGGTTTGAAAGGGAAATTTACTTTACTTTAATTCACGTATAATGTAGGATAACATTCAATTATCAAAAGGTTAAAATAAGTCTGATTAACTTTAAAATATTGACAATTTTCTTTTTAAAATGTCTGACAAAATTAAAGTATATATTGAGATTTTTAAAAATGTTACCCAAAAGTGTGATAATAAGTTAACTTCCATTGTCCTTCTTATATCAGCCTCTGACAGTTCAAGAAAGGGGCCACAATTTATTATTCCAGCATTGTTGACTAGAATGGTTATGTCCCCTACATCACTTCTTACTTTCTGTGCAACTTCAGAAATTTTAGCAGAATTAGCTACATCGCAAGGATAAGCATATGCTTTACCCCCAGATTTGTTGATATCTTCTGCAGTTTTGTTATTATTTTCCTGTAAAGAAATTAAAGGGATAAAACTTGTTAATATAATGAAATCAGATGAGAAGCAAGTGTTATTACTAAATTGCTATAGAGATCCAATTTTTTGAGCAGGTAATTATATTATATTTATATATTTTTAAATTGAAAAAAGTTAAAATATATCAGGAAAGTATATTTTAACACAACTTTTTTCTCTAAATCACTATTGCTGTACATTAACAAAAAAGTAATCATCATATTCTGTGAACTACATTACACTAACTACAGTAAAATGTAAATAATTAAATTAACACCTGAAGGCTTACTCTTCTTACCACCTAGCTATTGCTTAAGCTTGTCTTAGGCTAGATGAATACATAATTTTTTTCTTAATTTCATCTTTCTTAAAATTAGTCAAAAATGATTAAGATTAAGATTTTAATTGTTAAAATCTCACATCTTTACAAAATCATAAAACAAATATAAAAACAATATTTGCCACAAACCAACAGTGAAAGCTTGTAAAAAGTATAGCTTCAATGACTGACTAACCTTGTTGATATCCCAAACCACAACAGTGGCCCCAAGTTTGGAGATCTCAAGGGCCAGCTCTCGGCCAATTCCATGCCCAGCCCCAGTGACCAAGGCTATCTCTCCTTTGATGGACTTTCTCGCCGGAGGAAAAAACACTCTGAACAATGCTAGCACATAATGGTAGTAGATGACAAAAATAACTTGGACTATATCAATTAGATCTGCAATAATGCTCATATTTCAACAGCTGGAGACTGCTCAACTACAGCAACCTTTTGAAAAAAATTAATTTTAAGAAAATGATACGTATAGATAGTTAAACAAATTTATTATTCTATTTACTTTGGAGATGTTTTATAACTAGTCAATCATTTTTATTGTATTACTTTAAATTTCTTGCTACAGAAACTCCTTAATATATGACTTATTTTAATTAAGTTAGTGGTTCCCAAAATGTACCCTAGAATATTTTAATGTGTTGCTATTCAACTCTAGGCCTATTTGTTGTTTCTGTTTCAGTTGCAGTAACTTGGTAATACTGATAGCTATAATACCACTTCAATTCAAATAATAAAAACTAAATTGTTTAATATAGTAGTTTATTGGGCTCTATATCTCATTAGGGTCTTTTTTTTATTGCATGTCAGTGTTGTATGTTTTAAATTAAGGCCTATTATTATTTGCACTGTCTTTCCTATAATCATACTATAATGCCATATGGATTATAATATCATAATATATGTTCTACAAAATTATTTTTATTAAAATGTGATGGGACTTGGAACTTAAAAGTTTTTCTAATGGCATAAATTAAATATAACTACTTAGTAGTATGCCACTAATTTTAAAATTTAGATAATGAGTTGTAGCTGAGTTTAAGCCAGTTTTAGGTGATAGTTTAATCATTAATGTTGGTACTAACCAAGATGCAACAAGTGATATAATATATAACAAGGGGAGTTGACTCTGCAATAGAATCCCAAATACTACAGATTCAGCTAGCCTAAATTTCACTAGTAGGTCTCCTTTAGATGTAAATGGATCTAGTCTATTAAAAATAAAACATTGAAAAGAATTAGGCCTAATGAAAATCTAAAACTTAAAAAAGTAGGGCCCTAATTAAAAAAAAACCACATAAAAAATGTAATGTAAATAATGTGTGTGATGTAACTTAAAACTTAAAACCACGGTAGCATGCTCACTCGACACTCCCCTCCAAATATAACTAATGGCAAATAACTTTTATTTTACTCAACATTTAAATTTAATGTTGTATTCCTAGACCTAGGGGGGAAGGACTATTTGCAAGCATTGTAATTGCAGCCATATAGATTATCTAATTACAAGTCAAACTCAATTGTGTTAGGAGTCGGAATATCAGTCATCAATTTAATTAAATAATATTATTACATGTTACTTATGTACATTAGCTTTAACACAACGGGACTAGCTGATAATGCTCATACAAGGTAATGCAACTTTCATTTTTTATGACTTAACTGGCCAGGAGTGAGAAGGCGAGGGAGGCCGAAGAAGGAATGGGCAAGACTAACAGTTTGCAGAATTGCTAAAAGTAAAAGCGGCAAATGACCGGGAAGGATGGCAAAAAAAAAAAAAAAAAAAAAAAAAAAAAAAAGATTTATATTATTGTCAAATAGAATAGAATAAATATAAGACTTAGATCTATATATTCTATTACTTAAAGGCAACAGTGGCGCTTCAACGACCCTCCCACAGTCAGTGATGAGATTGTAAATTGTAATTTAATAACTAGATTCTATATGACAAACCTATAGAGTGCAGACCTAGATTTTAGATACTACTAAAATACTTAAACGTAAATGGAAAATGATGAGCGTGCATGAACAGTATACGCTATCTACTAACGCTAAGTCGTTAACGGACCAAAGTGTCATGACACTACGTTACTATGCAAATCTATTTCAAACCAGTCGGACGGAAATGACCTTATTATAGACTAGTTTACACAGTTTTGCGAAATATTAATGGGCTAGGTCAGTGGCTCTTAACACCCAACCCCCTTCAGTTTCATAAAGCGTATTCACCGGTCGCACTGACAAATTGCGATCGTGAAACACAAGTCGGGGGTGTGTCTAAACCTCCGTCTAATACCCTGAGACTGACTCACTCTAACATTTCAGACACTTTTATGAATTATTTTTTTCTTTAGAGTACTTTAGAGGATAGGCCTACTGGTTAAGAAAATATTTTATTTTAGGTTTAAGTAAATTAAGTATTTTTCTATTTCGTCTGGGGGAGGGTGGAGCGTGTCCAGACAAATGATGCTAGTTTTTAGAAATATTAAACCGATATGGTTGGTACGCTACACTCTTGCTATTTGCCGCTTGGCAAGATGCAAAGAATTGTGTGCAGTTGTTTTTTTTTTTTTTTTTTTGGTAACTAGTTAAGGGGAACAACCAAATAATTACTAAACACACACTAAGCCAAACAGGATGAAAGGGAAACAATGATTTTTCAGATTATTCGTTTTAAATATATATCTTTATTTAAAAATCACTCTTTGTTAAAAAATGTAACACGTTTTAAGACAATCAAAACGTTTTTATCATACATAGGCATAAAAAGCGTGTGAATCATTCACCATAAACAGACAGGGTTAACTTACATATAATAATTACCGAATAATATAATTATACAATTATCAAGATAAGTTAGATATTAATTATTATGTGCTTTTGAATGTATGCTAAAAGTAAATGACATAATTGACAAGTATAAACTAGTAAACAAACTCGCAAAACATATTCATTAAGCAATTTTAAAAAAATGCAATGTTAAATTTGTAAATAATATTCACAAAAACCATTGTCAAATAATTTAATGAAATGATTGAGCATTAGCTTATGAAAAGATAGTGTACTGTTTATGATAGAAAAATGAGTCTTTGGTGGTGATACCATAGATCAAAGAAATTATTCATCAATAGTTATTTTATCATCACAACATACAACAGTAAAAGCCTTTAAATTTTACCAAATAAAGTTTTTTTAGATTGAATATATATTATATCCAAAAAATTTCAAGTAGGCTACACAAATTCAGTTAAAAAGATGATAAATGCATTAAAAGCTATTTTAATAGGAATAAGTTTTAAATTGAAAAAGCATCACAATGATATAGCCTGCAACATTTTAATCAGTTTAACCATAAGCAATGTTTTTAATTATGCTTTTTATACTGGGACTCAATGTTAATTCCAGTTTTTTTAGTAAGAAATTGTCCAGCTTTCCTTGGCAAAATTCTGAAATAAAAATGTACCTTTAATAAAAGTCTGTTTTTTAACAACTAATTTAACATACAGTCAGAAGGTATTAATGTTTTTTTTTTAAAAAAAACCAAATAACCTACAATACATTAAACTATTATTTGATATTGCAGTTAAATTATTCTAACTTATTAACACTATTTTATTTAAGTTGATATACTTTAGTAAAAGTAGGCTTCTAATCATCAAAGCGATATTTTACATGTTTTTAGAGAAGTATTTTGAGTGGCTGATTGGGTTAAGCTCAAGTGCTTTTATATGCCCATACTTACCCTGTCAGATAAAGGGTTAATCTAGCAATCCAACATGGCACAGAGACCAGTTCATAGTCTCTTAGCATCCCATCTATTCCAGCCAAAGCAACTTGATTTGGGGTCAAAACTTTGCCATGTCTGTAAAATAAGTAAAGTGAACTGTACAATAAAACTTATAGATTTATAATTAATGTTTGTTATCTCATTTTGCAACATGTGTTGTAATGTAATCCAAGTTTTAAATTAGTATTTGAATTTTTTTTTCCAAACAATTCAGCATACTCAAGGGCTAGAGCTGACTATTATAAATTAAATACCTCATAAAATAATTGAGATCAAATCGTCATGAAAAATATTTTTGCCTGAAATCTTAAATCTTATTATGTAAGGATTTTACTGGCTACATTAAATTATTACTTAATCTGCTGATGCTGCTACAAATAAATACTTAACCCTATTTCACCTTTCAACAAATCTTTAAAAGAGTATTTTACTTTTAAATTTAGTTGAATAATTTTTATTTATTTTTATTTATTTTGGGTGAAAACATGAAGTTAAAAATCAAAAGATGTATCATTATTTACTTGAGAGTAAAGTTCTTTAAAAGTCCAGTGTCTACAAACATAGGACATAGAGCGGTCATCTTAATATTGTGGTGTCCATCTTTTCTTAACTCTGCTTGCAAAGACTGAAACAGTCCATATGCTCCATGTTTGGATGCACTAGTAGAAAAAAACGTTAAGATAAAAATAAAATAAATTTGAAAATACTTTACATTATAAATATAATTATGTAACTGTATAAATAATCATATAAGAAAACACTGTCTAAAGAATTATTATGTCCACCAGTCTATATTTTACCTAATCATGTTAGATTTTTTTTTCAGTACCAATTACTTTATAATTAAAAACAATACATGATACTGCTGGTAGAAAATTTAGAAAATAATCTATTAAATAAGGTTTGTCCTGGTTAGTAAGTGCTGGTCTACTAAAATCATGAATGTCTACAAGGAAAATCATTTTTTGCTGTCTTAAAGAAAATATTGATTAACTTTATGCTTAAATATCATGTTTATTTACATCTACAGCTGGAAAAACTTTCTAATCTCTAGATATTCATTATTAGACTTTTCAGCCGAACCTAATATTTTAGACAAATATGGTGAATCATGTTTAAATATTTTTATATATATTTAATTTGCTCGATCTTTACCTTAAACAAAGTTAAGTTATCAATTTTCCTTAAGGCTATGATTTAATGAATTTTAATGATATTGATTGAATGTCCTTGTTGATTTATACTAACCAGTAATCTGTCAACAAATTAGCTCCAGTGAAGGCAGCCATTGAAATAACATTTAGAATATGACCATGCTGATTTTTTATCATTGAAGGCAAGAATTCTTTAATCATCTAAAGATAAATATTTTACAATGCAAATGGAATCATATAAATACATTTAAAATATAATTACAAATAAATATTTTCCTGATTTTTATATCAGCATATTTCTGGTAATAGAGCTAATTTGCCTTATTAAAAAAAAATTAGTGTAGGCTAAATACGAAATATTAAATGTAAAATAATAACCAAAATCAATATAAGCACTCATAGAATAAATAAACTAACAGATCTTTGTAAATAAATTGGAAAACTGAATTTTAAAAAAAAAATTCTTATCAATAGACAATAATTAATCTGGAAATATTTAAATTTTGTATTTAGCCTGAATAAAAATTCAATTTTAAAACTATCCTTACTGTTAAGTAGCCTACTTGAAATTAAAAACTACCAAACAAAATTTTGATAAGAATAATTAAATATAAAGCTTACCCAAAAATGGGACAATAAATTGACTTCCATTGTCCTTCTAATATCAGCCTCTGTCAGATCAAGGAATGGGCCACAATTTGCTACCCCAGCATTATTGATTAAAAGTGTTATGTCCCCTACATCACTTCTAACTTTATTAGCTACTTCAGTAACCTTTACAGAGCTGGTAATATCACATGTGTAAGCGTATGCTTTACCCCCAGATTTGTTGATTTCTGATGCAGTTTTCTCATTATTTTCCTAGACAGAAAATCAAACAATAAATTTATTAGGTAGCTGTTTTAGTTTTTTTTTTTTTACTTTGATGAACATGCTGTATCATCATCATCATAATTGACATAATGCTAAAATCATAAGATTCATCATTAAATGCTAATAATTATAAGCATTATAAGATAACAAATCCTAACAAAGTTAGTAAATTATGCTGAAATATGATACTTAAAATAATTTCTTAAAATAATAATAAAATAAATACTGAATACTGAGCCATCAATTATCTGTACAATTAAAGTCTAGCTTTCCTTGAAATGATTTTAACCTGTGACAAATGAACCACTTTCAAATTATTTGCTGCTTTTAAATATATGGCTCCATAGTCTAATAGACCATAGGATAATTGCACTTTAGAAATCCAAGCTCAAAACCTGGGCCTTAAGTTGAGAAAAGCTAGATGTTGCCCACAGTGGCGTAGCGAGGTCGGGAGTCACCCGGTGCGGCGGCACTTAAAATGGTTTCACCCCCCCAGAGGCGTAGCGACCCTTCCCGGGGACAAACTTTCAAGTTTTCGATTTGCACCCCCCCCACTCCCAAACTTTTGATTTGCCCCCCCCCCCCCCCCCCCCTCAAGTTTTTCTCTATATACTTTGCTATTTTTTGCCTTGTTGTCACCCCCCCTAAATGATGTCACCCGGTGCGGCCCCCACCCCCCCTCGCTACGCCCCTGGTTGCCCACACAGCTGATGGACCAAAGGGAGAGGACGTTAACTGAACAGCTTGGAATCAGGAGTAGCAGTTACTACATACACATTCTACATAAACTATTATTTTTGAGGGGGGGGGAACTTACATTAATATATCATATCAATTTAAACACAATAACAAAACAACTATAGTGAGGAAATAATTGGCATTGATGCTTGAAATTATTATCTATGATCTGTAGGCATAAATTCTGATACGCTGACTTATTGACTTGTATTAATGTAAATAAGCCTATGTACAGTTTTTATATTGTTAAACTTAATGAATTTCTCAAATTTACTGAAGCTAGAAAAGAAAAAATGCTGTTAATACTTTACACTGTCAATCAGAAGAGTGAATATATTACTCTATATACATTAAAAAACAAGCAATGACTAACCTTGTTGATATCCCAAACCACAACAGTGGCCCCAAGTTTGGAGATCTCAAGGGCCAGCTCTCGGCCAATTCCATGCCCGGCCCCAGTGACCAAGGCTATCTCTCCTTTGATGGACTTTCTCGTTGGAGGAAAAAACACTCTGACAAATGCTAGCACATAATGGTAGCAGATGACAAAGATAACTTGGACAAAATCACACAATGCTTCTACAATACTCATGGTTGTATAGGCGTCAGATGAGTTTCGCTTCAGAAGAATTTCCCCCCTTAATTAGCAAATGGAAACCTATCACAGTGGAAATGAATTATATACATTAACCATAATAAAAATGGTTAAAATAATTTTAAAAATATAAAGCAGCCAATTGCTTTAGATTATATATATATATATATATATATATATATATATATATATATATATATATATATATATATATATATATATATATATATATATATATATAGGTTTAGAAGATATACTAATATATTTTTAAAATCTAAATTCCTGTTGCAAACACTAAAATTCTAATTTATTATCAACAAGGAAGGTCTATGATCTATGCTTTTTTGCAGACTATAGTAAAGAAGTAAAAAGCTAAAATGATGCACCAATGTAACAAGTGACAGAACAGTAAATTGAAATTATTCATTACCTTGTTCACCATAAGAATAGTGTTACTAAAGTACACATTATTCAGTAGCAATGAATTGCCTAATCAGTAAAACTATAACAAAAGTATCAAGGTACAATATGCAAACTACACAAGGTCACACATAAAAAGTGTTAGAGAGGTTCTCAAATTTCACTGATAAAAACCTAAAGTTAATGCCTTATAGTATTATAGTTGTTCAAAGATCAATTAAAAGGCATTAATATTGCCTGAAATATTTTAAAAGTAAGTAGACAGTGATGAAACAAAAACACTTATGTAGAGTATTTGAAAATTGCTATTAACTTTCTCCTTTAATTTGGTATACAGGTATAATATTTTAAACAGTAAATGTATGTTAGATTTGTTAACTTAGACACTAGGTGTTTAAAGGTGTGTAAAGATATTTATTCAAAGAAACAAAATGTTAATAATTTGGCAATGATATAACGAATTATTTAACTCAAATTTAAAAATGCCAAGAAATTAAATAGCATTTTAAAATATTTTTTTATCATGTAATGATGCTACTACAAAAAATAAATAAAGCATGGTTGATGGAACATCCCAGTTTTGTTATTTTTTGTTTGATTTTTTTTTTAACACTGCTATCTTTAACAAGCATATAATAATATAATTTGAGAAACTCTTAGCTAGTTTAGACTACAGTGGGTTTTTTCTTTTAAGTTATCTAGCAGATATAGTGCAGCTACTGATAAGAGAAGTAGGTCTAGTTTTCACATTTATTCTTACAAGCCTTTTTATCAAAATAATGATTGTACAACTCCAGTAGTGGAGGCAGGATTGAATTATGGTGGTGTTGATATATATATATATATATATATATATATATATATATATATATATATATATATATATATATATATATATATATATATATATATATATATATATATAATGTTTATAGTTTACCAAGAACCAGACTTTTTTCTTTAGTTGTGACTCCACTCTTGTAAAATATTCATTACTAAGCTTAAAGTTTTGTTTTCCTTTCCATTGTTACATTTAGACATATGTCACTGTAAAACAGTAGCGTACGCAGGGGGGAGCAGGGGGAGCTGCCGCTCCCCCTCTGGCCATTTTCAGCAAAGTGGCGCCTTTTTGGAAACTTTTTAAACTCAAAGTTTTAAACAATGATATTTGTTAAAAAAAAATTTGGTCGGCACATCTATGTAAATCACAAGCTTTCTTTTCATGCAGCAATTAAGCATTATTGTACTAGTTTAGTAGTGTCTACGTTTACAACACGTATTAACAGCTGCATCAGTTTGCTATTCTAAAAATAACCATTAAGATGCATTGCAATGTTTAAAAAACCTCTACGGTAGTACCACTTGGCAAGAGGGGTGTTAAGTTTAAGGCAACTGTATAATGTATAATTGAATTAGAAAATGTTATACATAAAACTTCACACTTTATATACAGTTTGAATCGTGTGATTAATTTTAAAAACATTACAATACAGAAACAAATACAACTGATGTGGCACTTCTATTTAAATTTACTTATGAGCAAACTGCGTAGTGGTGGGGAAATTTTGACGTCATCACGATGAAGTAGTAGTATTCTTACAGTTTGGGCGATAGTGATTACGATTACAAATTATATGAAACAGCTACAACCCCCTCCCCCATGGACCCCTCTGTAAAAAAAAAATATTGTCATAATACCACTGCTACTTATTTAAATCTATTTTTGTAATATATATTTGTGTAATATATATATATGTGTAATATATATGTATGTTTAGAACAGTCATCTAAAAACTGACGCTATGTTCACTCTGAGTTGGTTATCTCCCCCCCCCCCACCTCACCAACACAATTGTGTAGAGCGACATTTATGTCACACCTAGGTATACACCGGGTTGGATAATTGACCTAAAGTGTACGGACAGTGGTGAATGAAGTTGAACCCACCCCCCCCCCTCCACCCACCCGAACTGATCTGTTAAGTACATGTAGAAAAACGGGTAATGGTGTACCAAAGTACCATGCCGCCAGAAAATTAGCTTTTTAAACGTAAAACTCTGTGAATATTGTTTTTGCAATTACCAGTAAAAAGTTGTTTGATCAATACAGTGATCTAACCCATACCTATCACTATTTTAAAAATGATCTATAATAACACAAATAAGGCGTAGTAAATTAAAATATATGATCTGAACTAAAAGACCAATATTTAGTTAATCGTAGGCTGTTATTCCGAAAGTACCTCTATTATATCGAAAAGCGTGGTTTTATACCAACTCTGATTTTAAAACTTTCATTACGCTGTAATACTTTAGCATTTATGATGACGATATATTAAATTCTGATTATAGACAAAAACATTTTGTAAACACGAATAGTGTTAAACTATTTCATTATTATCTAAAGTAATTATTTATTTGTTTTGAAATTTATAATTAAATGTGTAGATATATACATATTTATATTAAGAGAGTGATTATTTCCCCTATTTCACTTGTCTTAAATTGTTTCCCAGGAATTATAATGTAAGAATTTTTTTTACAAGAATTACAAAACAGATTTGTTACGTTCATTGTTTTTGGTTGTAGTGTGTGTGTATATATATATATATTTTTTTAGATTGATACAATTTTTGTTTTGTCGGCCTACATTGTGTGTTTTTTCTTATTTCTTCAGAGTGCTACTTATTTATTTTACATCATAGCGAAGTAATGACATACAGTTAGTAATTATATATATATATATATATATATATATATATATATATATATATATATATATATATATATATATATATATATATATATATATATATATATATATATATATATAATACACGTATATAGAACGTGTTAAAAATTTGGCGCCTTTTTTTGCTCTTTTCGCTCCCCCTACAACGAAAACCTGGATACGCCTCTGCTGTAAAACAATAACAGCTTGTAGAATCCATAAAATTTAGAAAGTTAGGAAATGAGCTATGTAAAAAATACCCTTCTGAGATGTCTACACATCAGGCTATAAGTCATGTTGAGTTTTATAACAGCAATGCCTGTGCCATCATATTATCCTGTATGTGCTCAGGACACATGGGGTAGATGAAGTTGAGTTCATCTGCTTCAGAGATCTACGCATATATGCCCAGTCGCCTTTGTTTAACCTAACCTGGGTGGACACAGGGACATTTGATATTTTCGGGGGAGGGGGGGGGGGCAACATTTTCCGGGGGAGGGGGGGGGGGGCTGACACTGGTAAAAGTATACGTTTTCTATATAAATTCCATTTTGTTCTTGGGGGGGGGGGGGTGTAATCCTGGAATAAACTCTGGTGAATCTTTTTTTTTTCAAGTTAGCTAAAAAGCGCCCCGGGCCTTCCCCTCCCCGCCAATTTGGAACTATGTGTGGCCTCTTGTTACTTGTCACTGTGTTAAAACTTTAATCAGTTTCTAGTTTCACAAAATAGTGTAATATTAATGCAATTCGACTGTACAATTAAATAATTCAGCTTTTTAAAAATATATAACCCTGTTGACCCCCCTAGGATCGGCACTCGGGGCTATCGCCACACAAGCCCTTCCCCCAGCAACGCCTCTATACAAACTTTTCAAAAAGCCATAAGCTGCCATGATTGTGTATGCAGTTGACAATGTACAATCCGCTACAGTAGGCCAGACATGTTCGGTTGTTTACCCTGTTCTACTCTGTCAGGTTTGATATATAAATATTACTGTAGATAAAAGCTTAGGGGTCGTCCATAAATGACGTCACGCTCGTAGGGGGAGGTGGGGGGGGGGGGGGTTCCGTAATTTTGTGACGGTGTGTCATGAGAGGGAGGGGGTGGGGGTTCTGATGGTGTGACTTCACTTTTTTGCATTATAAAAAAGCAAATATTAGCCGTTATTTCACGTTTTAGAAAATGGTTTTAATTAATTGTAATAAGAATTGATCAAAATACTCCGTTAACAAAGTTTTGACAAGATTTTGGAAAAATATCGATTATTTAAGAAAAATTCAACAGCAATTTTGAGGGGGAGGGGGGAGGTTGTAGGCTGAGGTGTGAAGTCATTTTAGGGGGGGGGTCTGGCTTTTGTGACGACGTGTGACGGAGGGAGGGGGGGGGAATAGTCAAAAAAGCGTGACGGCATTTTTGGATGACCCCTTAACTAGCTGGTAATGATCGTATGAGAGATAATGGTAGTAGGTCAAACAATTTCAGAAATCAAAATCAAATCAACAAATTATTGCCATATGTTCGGATATAAATCAAAGCTGAATCGTGATTTCATTTTAGGGGTCTGACTTTCGATTGTAGGGAAAAAAGTCAGAGGGAAAAAAAAAACAAGTAATAAAACAGACTTTATTTCTGTGACTATATGGCTGATAAAACTTTTTTTCCTGTGACTTTTTTCCAGTTCCCCCTGACTTTAATGATGTGACGATCGGCAAACGACGCGTAGTGTAGGTAAAAATTGTCATAACAACGTGACATCTTTATGGACGCAGTAGCGTAGCGAGGGGGGGGGTGTTGGGGGGGGGGGGGGCGGGGGGTACATATGACCCCGGGCGCCGACCTTAGGGGGCGCCAAAATGGGTTGGAGAAATAAATTGAAAGGTTGAGGGGGGTGCAAATCGAAAGTTTGAGGGGGGAGGGGGGTGCAAATCGAAAGTTTGAGGGGGAGGGCGCCGGGAAGGGTCGCTACGCCTCTGTATGGACGACACTTTAATCATCAAAAGACACCGATCACGCTTTTTTTGACGATTTTTAACTCCCCCTCCGTTACACATCGTTACAAAAAGCCAGACCCCCCCCCCCCACCCTTAAATGACCTCCCACCTCAGCCTAAACACACTTTAAAATTGCAATTGAATTTTTCTTAAATCATCGATATTTTTCCAAAATCTTGTTTGAATTCAGTCAACATAGAGTATTTTAATCAATTCCTATTACAATTTATTAAAAAACCGTTTTCTAAAACGCGAAATTACGGCTGAAACTCGTTTTCTAACATTTCTTTTTTTTATAATGCAACAGTGTGACGCCACACCATCTACACCCCCCTCCCTCTTCATCATACACCGTCAAAAAATTACGGACCCCCCCTCATCCGACGAGTGTGACGTCATTTATGGACAACCCCTTATGTCGATCTCTTTTTTTCTGTAAATCGCGATTGAAAAAAAAATCAGCATGTCTCTACGTAATGTTCTTAACCTCACCCATTCCCCATCCCTTCAATATAGAGGCCTATATATAAATGTATATATATATTTATATATATATATATATATATATATATATATATATATATATATATATATATATATATATATATATATATATATATATATATATATATATATATATATATGTTTGTGTGTGTATATATGGCTATAAGCTATTATTGAAAACGGAATTATGAACGTCTAGATACATGTTACAAAAAGGAAAGTGGGATTTGACTACAGGTACAAAAATAAAACAGTTGTTTCGTTTCCTGTAATGTTTCCTTGTAATGTTTTTTGAATAAATTTTGTTTACAAATGGCCGACATTTGATAAAATTCCAGTGATACATTTATTAATTTAACTTTATTGGTTTAAGCTTTAAAGTCAAGTTCGATCACAATTTATTTATTTTAACGTTTCAATTATTAAGTTAATAAAAGACATTTAATATTCATAATGGCTTCTCAATCAAGAATCAATACATACATGGAAAGACATAAAATAGGCGCTTTATTCGAGGTTGCCGGCTACTTTTCTTTTTTTCTTTTATCTTTTAAAATTTATAAATTAATTTATTTTTTCCTTTACTAATTTTATCTTGACTAACACTAAGTAACTTTACATAGTTTACTTTTACTATTCAGACTATAATAATTTAATCCTGAACTTTTGATGTTGGTGTAGGCCTACACAGTATTCTACTTCTTCAAACTATTAAATTCAAGTATTTGAAATTCTACGATTGAAATTCTCTATGATATAGTACTCTATAGTCTATAGAATACAAATAATATTTTTTAGTGATAGTGGGATGTTAAAGTGGCACTAGGATTAGAATCGTAATTCCAAGAATAATAGCAGTGTATCAGCAAAAAATAATTTTGCTACTGCCCAGCCTAAGAGAAGAAATGTAGGGCTTAAGTAGGCGTACCGATATATTTTTGACATAATTTTCAATATTTTAAAGTTAATATTCATCATTACATTTTTAAAATTAAAATGCTTTTCATTAGCTTGAGTTGCGTGAAATACACATTTGGCAAATAAAATTTTTATTGTTTAATTAATTAGCTGTGTCTTATCTACAAATTAAATATAGAGCTTCATCTAAAAAATTTGATTGACTATATTGATATCAGCTATACACATCTTTCAGGATCTTATGAATAAAGTGATTCGTGATATGCCAGAAGAGCCGATGATCTACCTGCTTAGAGCTGTGTATAAAAAAGCTGGAATGGAAATACCACAGGTTAGGGATCCATATAAACACTTTTTTAAGGATTTTTCTTCCCCCACCCCCTCATCATAAAAATTACATACCATCCCCATTCCTCCCTACTAATGTGATGTCTTGTATGGGCGACCCCTATTAAAGTGTTCCCACTTGCTTAATTTTTAAACTTTTTACTATGTCTTATTTTGTGATATTTTTATGACAGGGAATTCGGTATGGAGGATTACGTAAAAGCACATCTGAATTAAAGAGAAGCACAAGTCCAGAAAGACTCACAAGATCAGCGCAAGTTTCAAGCAGTGCTGGTTGGTAAACTGTTAACTTTTTCATCATCATCATTTCCTGAATGTAAAGAGATAGTTAGGTACCCATCAGAGCTGGGTGGACTCAGGGACGTTCCACTGATTTGAACCCGGATTCGAACTCGAGACTCTCGGGTTACCAATCTAGCTCTCTGATGCTAGGCAACGCCATCCCAGTACTTTTGTATAGTATTTAATACATTTTTTTTTCACAAATGTGGCTTATATTAGCCTTCTTTTCCAAGTTTTTCTAGACTAACCTCATAGTTATAACAAATAAAGCCAAGTTTTTTGATGATACAGGCAGAAAATGACTTATTATTATATTTGTTTGTGCTAATATTTCAGATTTAGGGGCATCTAGGGATTATGAAAAACCATGGGCTACAACAACAGCTCAAAGGATTAAGCCAAGAAAACTTGAAGAAACATCAGGTTAAAAGCACAGCAACTTGTTCAGCATCTAAACAAAAACATTTATCTTTAAAACATTCTTTTTAACATGCTATTTTAAAATGTCCCCAAACGACTGTCACACAAAAAGGAAAGGATGATATTTTAAAGCTTAGAGCACAAACTGTAAATCTTTGTGATAGTTAAAGCAACACTTATCCAGTAGAAAAATAAAAATAATATTTGATTAAAATGTGAAAATATAAAGCAAATAATAAACACCAAATTGAGTAAATAATGAAAAAAAGTCCTAAATAAAAACAACTTTCCAATTATCATTTTATATTTTTAAACTTTAGTTATAATACACCTTTAGCTATTTCTCCTGTGTTCTGACATAGCTAATTGTGTGTAAAACTTGTCACAAATTTTATTTTAGCTTCCAAAAACAAACCAGAGTGGAACTCAGATAAAAAAGTGAAAGCTTCCACCTTTGATGATTTGTTTGAAGCTGGAGATGTGCCTAAGAAAGATAAAGAGAATGTGGACACCAGGAAGTCTACCACCAAACAAAAGGGAGGCTGGGGCACGGGTAGCCAGGGCGTGAAGACTGTCAATGCCTGGGCTACTGTTGGGATGGTGAGTAATTTTTCAATCGGGACGGAGTGGTCTAGCTGTAGAGAGCTGGACTACTAACCCGTAAGTCTCGAGTTCGAATCCAGGTTCAAGTCAGTAGACCATCCCTGAGTCCACCCAACTCTGATGGGTACCTAACGCATGTTAGGGAAAGTAAAGGCGGCTGGGCATAGTGCTGACCACACTATCTCTTCATATGCCGAGGGCACGGAAACAAGTGAACTCTACTTCACTTGCCCCATAGACCGTCAGGTTTGAAAGGGAAACTTTTATTCTAACAATTAAATTAGTCACTAAGATGTAAAAATCTTGTCCTAAAAATTAATTTTTACATTGTGAAAAATAACCTATTTCAAGGGGTCGGCGTGGTCGAGTCGGTAAAGCTCATGGTTGCTAAACCGAAAAGTCCCGAGATCGAACCCTCGGGCAGATGAGGCTCGTTAGCTGGGGACAGCCACTCTTCTAGGAGAGACAACTCCAAAATTAAACAACTGCTGCCTTGTAGTTTGTTCTTGGTTGGACAAAGGCTATGGAAGCTAATCCAAAAAGAAAAGCAGGCTGAAATCGGAGTCAATGGCCTCAATGGCACATAACCAGTTGACACGTAACGCTTAATTGTGTTGAAGGCGTGGTCGAGTCGGCAAAAAAGCTCATGGTTGATAAATTCGAACAAATTCTCAAGTTCACACCCACTGGCAGATAAATCTCGATCCCCTTCAACACTAATAATTAGGAACGAAGAAGAAGAAGACCTTTTTCAATTTTATTAAATTCACAATGTGAATAAAATCCGGTTTTAAAATGGGTTTAGGACATTCCCCCCAACATTACCTCCCCCAGAGTCATTACCCTCTGCCGATGACCCTCCCTTCCTATCCTGAAGAACCTTAACCCTAACCCCAACAATTTAGCTAACCCTAACATCAATCCTACCACCAACTCTAAACCTACATCTAACCCTGACTTTAACACTAACACCACACAAATCCCAAATGGGCGGAGGGGGGGGGGGGTAATTGACTGGGGGAGGGTGGGGGTAACTGCTCGGGGATGTAATGTTGGGGGGGGGGGAGGGGGATTGAATGGGTAATGTCCTGCTCCCTTTAAAATAAAAATTTTACATGTAGAAATTGTTTATTACAATAGCTAATTTTATTCTAGGATGAAGGAGAGGTTTACAGTAGCCCAACATTCCAAAGCACCAAAAGACCCACAGAGAACTCAAGTTTCTCAGAGAAAGACTTGCTGTGCAATGAGACCATTCCATTGTCCATGAGATCTGGGCCGAATACTGAAGATGACCAAAGCACTAGGGTCAGTGTGTCAAGGTCAGTCTTAAAAATAGTACACTAGTTCATGTACCAACCTAATTCTTACAAAAATAACTTTCAATTAGTGCTATGTCTTATAATTTTTTTAATAAAAATATTGACACCCAGCTTAGCATGTAAAATTAGCCATGAAAATACATATTCAACTCAATAAAGTATAAAGTTTTACTGATGCTTAATTTAACTCCAGTCTCAAGTTTGATTCCGGGGTTAAAGCTCAAACCCCAACACCTCCAACTCATGGTGAGAAATGGGGTTGTGTGTAGTGCTGGCCCTACTATTGGAATCATATGAAAAGGTTCAAAGAAAAAAAAATGAATTCTAACTTATGCTTTTTGGACTGAAATGGTCAGATTGAAAATTTGTTATACAGTAGTTCTGGGTCTTTTTTTGAAGGATTAAGCCAGTAGGATGTCCCTGAGTTTACACAGCTCTGGTGGGTAGCCAAATGATGTCACAATAATAAATGCAGGTCCCTATCTCTACATACGTGGAGGTCAAATAAACAGATGAACTCTACTTTACCTGCTGCATTACCCTTCTGGTCTGATAGAATGTTTATTTTATACTTTGAAGCAATATCACTATAGTATGGCTGCTGTTAGTGAAGTACCCTCCCAAACTTGATTGTCCATAAGGCAGGTGAAGTAGAGTTCACCTGTTTTAGTTGTGCATGCATTTGAAGAGATATCATGGTCAGCACAATGTCCAGCCACCTTTACTTTCCCTAACCTGGGCCGAATGAGAAACTGTTTACTGACACAAACTTTGGATTCAAACTCAAGACTTTCGGGTTAGAAGTCATAGGGGTCATCCATAAATGACGTCACACTCGTAGGGGGAGGGGGTGGGTCCGTAAATTTGTGATGATGTGTGATGAGGGGGAGTGGGGGGGGGGGGGGGTTCAGATGTTGCGACGTCACACTTTTGCATTATAAAAAAGCAATGTTAGAAAACGAATTTTAGACGTTATTTCGCATTTTAGATAACTGTTTTAATAAATTGTAATAGTTTAGACAAGATTTTAGAAAAATATCGATGTTTTAAAAAAATTCAACTGCATTTCTGAGGGGGGTTGTAGGTTGAGGTGCGACGTCATTTTACGGGGGGGGGGTCTGGCTTTTTGTGACGACGTGTGACGGAGGCGAGGGGGGAGGTAAAAATCGTCAAAAAAAGCATGACGTCATTTATGGATGACCTCATATGTTCTACCATCCGACCACACCATCCCACCTGGCTGCTATTAAAGGAATAAAAAATACAAAGTGCTTTAATAAACCCAGTATTTAGAATGTATTCTATATTGCCTCCTTAGCCACAACAGTAAAAACAGAAAAATGGAAGCCAAAAAACATAAAGAAGAATACGGCCAGCTTTTGACAAAAGCTGATCACAAATCTGATGACTCCGGACTTGGTCCAGATTTTGAACTGGCATATGATGATGATGATGATGCCATTGAACTTTTAGGTGAGAATATGTTAAATTTTGTGTAAGCTCTCATAACAAATTTCTCCATTTTTAGAAATTTGACAGATTTAAATTTTATTAAAATGATTTTTTTTTATGCACACTTTGTAAGTTACTATTGAAAATTCAACTAGATAAATCTTATCAAGACATTTACTCGATAAAAGTAGATTAACACATTATGTGAAGAATGAATAGGCCTAAGATTCAAATTTCTCAGCTACGATAAAGTAATTATCGATAATCTTTCAATTTAATATTTGTGTTTTGTGGTATAGAGAATGCTGATGACTTAAAAAGGGAGGGTGTAAAGAACATTCCTTTATCAGGCTACAAGTTAAGCAGGGTAAGAGAATTGGTAGAAACATAGATAGTCCTAATTAACCAAAAACTAATGCCTGGGCATCATCCATATAATAATGATTAAATATAAATTGTAGAAATAATAAAACAATATATGTTTAATATATATTTAAATTTTGAATAATATGAGAAAAATGCTACTAAAATATTTCAAGAACAAGATACATTTTTGACTGTTTTGCTTATAACATATTTTGTATCAGATAAACAATTTATGTACTTAATTAATTTGTATTTCATTTAGAATCTCCGCCACAGGGATAATGAACCAAGGGTCAAAGTGAATATAAAGTAAGAAATGTTTTTTGTGTGAATGATACAACAATAAGTAATTTGGGGAACATTTGATTTATTTCTATTTTACCAGAACATTCCTAAAAGTATTACAGGAATGGTCTTAATCAATTATAACATTAATTAAATGAAGATGGATAAAAAATAAACTCTTCAAAGAGACTTTTCCAGTGAAATATTTTTTGAATGGCACATAGTAAATTTACACAGAAAAATTATTAAATCTTTTTACTAAATTACAGTTCACATTTTAAATGTGTGTTTTGGTTCCAACAATTTCCTGTGGGTTTTTAAAATGCTAAATTGAAAGTATTATGTTCATTACTGTTAGTGCATATGCTGTACCAAGTGGTAAGATTTTGTAAAACTATATTCCTTTTGTTTTTAAAAAAAGTATTAAAAAGACTTATTAGAATTTTGATTTAGAAATTCTTTTATAACCCCCACAAGTTTTGTTTCTTTTTTGAGCACTTTTTAAGTTTACCCTGCATCATTGATTTACTTTTTATTTTTATATTGGTTTGTTTTAACATAACATAATGAAACTAGAATTTCAATGAGAGCTTTTGTACCATTATTTTTAACAAACTTAGTTTGTATATCTTCTTGTTTACTAAACAAAGATAAGGAAAATTAGGGGGCTAAAAGTTGAAACAGTAACTATATTTAAATTGGGTTTTCATTTATGAAATGTGATTTTTTTTGGTAGCTTATTTCAAGGAGGATTCTCAAGACATAAAAATTACATGACTGAAATTTTCTTCCAATCTACAGTTACCTTCTTTCGTGACTTCTTTAATTTTTTTTACAGTTTCTACAATGCTACTTAAAATTCTAAAATATACCAGTGGAAATAATATTTAAAATTTTAAATCAATTAAAAAACAACCCATTGTAATCTTAGAATTCCTAAAAATTTGGCTACCTCCTGTTCATACTTGTTTTTCCTAGCTTTCACTGTTATACTTAGGTTTTTCTGTGGAATTTTTTTTTATCCATTTAGGGGCAAATGGCTTTAATGACTGTTTCAAACGTTCATTTTTAGAAAAATACTTGTATTATGTAATATAAGCTTATGGCGAAATTCTCTTTCCTTCAACTCCATAGGCCCAATGCTAATTGTATGAATAGTTTAAAAGTGTTTTAATCCACTATTTCAGTGTGAACCCTCCACCATATCCTTACAGAACCTATCCAGGTAAAATCTTTAGTTGATCCAAGTTTTATACCAGCTAGCAGTCACAATTTGATTCAAGTTTTTATACTAGCCAGCAGTCACAATTTGATTCAAGTTTTTATACTAGCCAGCAATCACTATTTGGTCAAAATTTTTATACCAGCTAGCAGTCACAATTTGGTCTACATTTTTATACCAGCTAGCAGTTACAATGTGATCAAAATTTTTATACCAGCTAGCAGTCACAATTTGATCAAAATTTTTATACCAGCTAGCAGTCACAATTTGATCAAAATTTTTATACTAGCCAGCAGTCACAATTTGATCAAAATTTTTATACCAGCTAGCAGTCACAATTTGATCAAAATTTTTATACCAGCTAGCAGTCACAATTTGATCAAATTTTTTTATACCAGCTAGCAGTTATAATTTGATCAAAATTTTTATACCAGCTAACAGTTACAATTTGACTTTTGATTTTTTTAACCAATATGAATCACATTTTAATAATTTAAAACCTCACTTACACGAGAACAATCACTTTTACTCTAAGCCCATTTTTTAACTTAGCTCAAATTAGAATTTTTTTTTTAACATTAGCATTTTTAGCACTTTTTGCAATTTGTTTTACTAAAACTTAGATTAGTGCTTTTAAGTAATGTTTTTGTTTATTTTCATTTTCTTTACCAAGTATTTATAGTTGTAGTAAAAAAAAAGTTATATTTAAGTTTTACAAAAATTATATGTTTGCAATTTATTGTTATGAAATATTTTAAATGCTTACTCAAATATCTGAGATATTTAAAATATTTTAAAACAAAAACTAGGCAAAGTTTATGTATAGTAAACAATTTTTTAAACATACACATTGTTACATGATATCTATAATCTCTAAATTTACACATTGATATTATAAAATGAAGGTTTTTTGTTCACTTTTAGTGAAATAAAAAAGAAAGATTATAAAATTATAAAAATTTAAAATAAAAATGGTCTTTAATATGATTTATCTTGCAAAGTTGTTTCATTTTGTGTATTTAGTGACATTATTAAAATGGTATCTTTTTTATTAAAGCTTTAATCTTTTTCATCTTGCAGAAAGTGTTGATCATTATGATGTGTTTGAAACTGAAACATCATCACCAGGTAGGCTATAAAAACTTTGTACTTATGGCTATGATTTCATGTTGGATAGAAAAATATGCTAATTGTTTTTTAAGACACCATGTAATTAATATTAATTTATATTATCTCTCTCACTGTAAAATAATTTTACTTATAAATCTTTTCTAATTTTTAAAATTTTAATATTTTTTTTTAGAACTAAAGGATTCTGATGAAGAGGATTTTGAAAGTGTGTCACAAGTTTCTGGGCCTGTAAGTTCTTTAGCATGTGTGTATGTGTGTGTGTGTTGTTGGGGGGGTGGAAGGTTTATGGTGTTTGTCGGTAGTCCATATAGGTTTACATGTGTATATAATTATAGGGCAACAAATAGGAATTGTACCTAGGATGAAAAGTAAATATAGGTTACTAGCCCTGCAACTGAAAGATATATTTCGAAACAGAGCCACCCCTCCTGGTGCCAGGGGACAAACTTTCAATTTTGCGCCCCCCCCCCCCCCCCCCCCCCCATATTTTTTATATTTATAATTCAAAATAGCAGCTAAAATGAGCTTATTTGGCGCCCCTAGGGTCGGCACCCAGGGACATATGTGTTATGAAATCCATACATTACTATTTTATAATCCTTAAATGCTTACTCTACTTTTTTCTATTGATTTTTAATCAAATATCATATCTGTGAGTGCTAAAATAACCTCTTTTTACACTAAAATACAGAATAAATTTTTAAAACAAAGCAAAAAAAAATTTTTTCTCTATTTTTTTTGTAGAGACACCCAGTATGGGATGTACCAGATACAGATGCTGAATCATTGTTCATGAAGCCGTCCTATTCATCTCAGGCACCCAAAAAATCCAGTCTCCAACAGAAAACTTTTTCTGAAAAGTAAGCTGACTGAGTTTACTAAGCAATAAAAATAACTGTAACTTTAATTTTCTGTAATCATTTTCATAACAACCTTACTGAGTATAGAGGTAACTTATTTGGATCTGTTTTGTTAACACATCCTCATTATAGTTTGGTTTATAATGCAATATATACCTCATTAATAATTCATCAAATCTTCATTGTTTAGTTTATAATGCAATATATACCTCATTAATAATTCATCAATGTAATGCAATTTCTACCTCGTTACTAATTCAACAAAACTTCATTGTTTAGTTTATATTGCAATTTTTACCTCATTAATAATTAAACATAACAGAAAATAAATGAAAAAAATATATAAATAGCTTTAAAAACTAATATTATTAACACAATAGTAAAAATTAAAGTTTCCCTTTCAAAACCTGACGGTCTATGGGGCAAGTGAAGTAGAGTTCACTTGTTTCTGTGACCTCGACATATGAAGAGATAGTGTGGTCAGCATTATGCCCAGCCGCCTTTACTTTCCCTAACGTGAATTAGGTACCTATCAGAGTTGAGTGGACTCAGGGACGGTCTACTGCCTTGAACCCGGATTCGAACTCGAGACTTACGGGTTATCAGTCCAGCTCTCTACCGCTAGACCACTCCGTCCCGTTAACACAATAGTTTTCAAAAAATTACTTACAAATTTTTAGAACATTTTTTAAAAATAGTTTTATGACTGCACTAAATTATAACTACCTTTACTATAACAATATAACCCGCAAAAATGTATTATTTTTTCCTTTCACAGAACATTGCGTAATACAACGCCTGTAAAATTTGCTGATCGTTCACTAGACAATGCAGATGAGCTGTCAGTGTCTAATGAAACATGGACAGAAACTGGGAACACAGTGAGTTCAGTACAGTTTATTTCAAGATATGCATTTATACAATAAAACTAGTTTGTTAACATTAGGTTGTTAGACATCTCAGAATTTTCGTGAATTGGTTTAAAAAAAAAAATAGAATCTCTATAGCATCTGGAAGTATACTGACAACACCATAGCCTTACAGAAGTCTCATAGACCATCAGATCAGTAGACCAAATGTTTTTTTAATGAATAATATGTGATGGTTCTGTTTGAGATGTCTTATGTGTAGGCAGAGGGAGATAAATGAGGAACAGGGTTTCTTTCAGGCATTTTACTCAAGAAGGGGCAGGGGAGCATTTGAAATTTTTAGGGGTGGGCTATTTTAAGGTTGAAATTTTCTATTTAAATTTTTAAAAAATTCTTCTAGTGGGGAGAGAAGAGAATAGAGATGGCTGGTGGAGGGGGGGTGGGGGAGAGAAGAAGATAGTGGGGGTAGTGCAAAATGAACACTTAGTAGGAAGTTCAGAAGCCTGCAGCAGAGTTCCCCCACAATTTATTCTATGAATGCTTTAATGAATTCTTATTGTTGTATAATTTCATTTCTTCATCTTAAAAAGCAAACCTGTTCATGTGTGTCATAAGATTTCCTTAGGTTAGAAAATGTTTTTATTCTTTTATTCTACAGGAGCGACCTGCAAAAGACCCTAGAGGTAAATAAAACTTAACACTTTTTCTTTGTTGAGGTAATGTTATACAAGCTAATCTGTCTTTAAAGAAGGCTGTGTGCTCTCTTTATTTCTTTCGATGTTAACTACAATTAAACGGTTAATGAACACAGTCATACAATTTTATTTAAATAATTTCATAAAAAAGAAGTTTCCTGTGTAGCCTACAATTACATAATTTAAATATTTTAAAATTAATTAAGTAGAGCTTAAATATTTCACATCCCAACAGCTATTGTACTGAATTTTCAAATCCTAAATAGACTTTTTGATTGGTTGGCATTTGTTAACACTCTTCTCTTTCCAGAGATAACAAAACATTATTAACAAGTCCATTATTTTTTAAAATGATACATTTTTTTTGCTTTTTCAGTGTACTGAAGTGTTATAGACTACATAGGCTCTAATTGCTTGACAAAGTCTACACTTCAGAAGTTTTTCATTTATCTATTATAGCAATTGTGATATGGCAACTATATTTGTCTATTTTTTTTCACACTATTTATATGTATGGTCTATACAACCAATTTGTATTTTATTATATAAAGCTACATACACATCTTAAATGATTATTGAAAAAGGCAGAAATGCTTTCATTATATTTGTTTCATTACTTATTGTTATAGTATAATGTCACGGAAGTTAATACATTTCCATATATTTCATTTACAATAAACATAATTGGCTTACAATTTCCTAGTTTTTAATTTTAATTGATTTTTGTGTGAAATGTCTTACACATGATCTATAACTTAATTGGTATACAATTTCCCTTTATTTAATTTCAATTGATTTTTGTGTGAAAAATTATCTTACCCGTGATCTGTAAGGTATTAGAGAAAACATTATTCACATACATGTGTTTTTGGGAGGGAGGGGGGTGGTTTACATTCAACTGCATACAATTTTAGTCCATTCCACCACCCCCACACATACATTTACCATTATTTTTGACCCATCAATTCAGAATCCCCAACTCAATCTAAAAGGATGTCACCCAGAGGCGTATCCAGGTTTTCGTTGTTGGGGGAGCGAAAAGAGCAAAAAAGGCGCCGAATTGTTAACACGTTCTATATACGTGTATTATATATATATATATATATATATATATATATATATATATATATATATATATATATATATATATACATACACACACACACTACAATCAAAAACAACAAACGTAACACAATCTGTTTTGTAATTCTTGTAAAAGAAATTTCTTAGATAATAATTCCTAGGAAATTATTTAAGACAAGTGAAATTGGGGAAATAATCACTCTCTTAATATAAATATGTATATATCTACACAATTAATTATAAATGTCAAAACAAATAAATAATTACTTTAGAATATAATGAAATTGTTTTACACCATTCGTGTTTACAAAATGTTTTTGTCTATAATCATAATTTAATATATCGTCATCATAAATGCTAAAGTAATACAGCATAATGAAAGTTTTTAAAATCAAAGTTGATATAAAACCACGCTTTTCGATAAAATAGAAAAACATTCAGAATAACAACCTAGATTTATATATATATATTGGTCTTTAAGTTCAGATCAAATATTTTTTTAATTAACTACTGCTTCTTTGTGTTCTTAAAAGATCATTTTTTTTAACATAGTGATAAGTATGAGTTAGATCACTGTGTTGATCACACACCTTTTTATTGGTAATTGCAAAAGCAATATTCACAGTGTTTAAAAAGCTAATTTTCTGGCGGCTTGGTACATCATTACGCGTTTTTCTACATGTACTTAACAGATCAGTTCTGGGTGGGTTGGGTTCATTCACCACTGTCCCGTTCACTTTAGGTCAATTATCCAACCCATTGTATACCTAGGCGTGACATTAATGTCGATCTGCACAATTGTGGTGGTGAGGTGTGGTGGGTGTGGGGGGGGGGGGGGGGGGGGGGGGAGATAACCAACTCAGAGTGAACATAGCGTCAGTTTTAGATGACTGTTTTAAACATACATATATATTACATAAATATATATTACACAAATATATATTACACAAATATATATTACAGAAATAGATTTAAATAAGTAGCAGTGGTATTATGACAATATTTTTTTTACAGAGGGCTTCATGGGGGAGGGGGGTTGTAACTGTTTCATATAATTTGTAATCGTAATTACTATCGCCCAAACTGTAAGAGTACTACTACTTCATCGTGATGACGTTGTTGATCTTGTCAAAATTTCCCCACCACTACGTTGCTCATAAGTAAATTTAGGTGCCACATCAGTTGCATTTGTTTCTAGTATATTGTAATTTTTAAAAAAATTAATCACACGATTCAAACTGTATATATATAAAGTAATTATGTGTGAAGTTTTATGTATAACATTTTTTAATTGAATTATTCGTAAGCAAAATACATTATACAATTGCCTTAAACTTAACACCCCTCTTGCCAAGTGGTACTACCGTAGAGGTTTTTTAAACATTGCAATGCATCGTAATGGTTATTTTTAGAATGGCAAACTGATGCAGCTGTTAATACGTGTTGTAAACGTAGACACTACTAGACTAGTACAATAATGCTTAATTGCTGCATGAAAAGAAATCTTGTGCCGACCAAAAATATTTTTTAACAAATATCATTGTTTAAAACTTTGAGTTTAAAAAGTTTCCAAAAAAGGCGCCACTTTGCTGTAAATGGCCAGAGGGGGAGCGGCCGCTCCCCCTGCTCCACCCCTGCGTACGCTACTGATGTCACCAGTGTTTCTTCCAGACTTTTTTTTTATATGCCGGACTTAGGTAAAAGTATGTTTTCTGTAGAAATTATATTCCGTTTGGGGTGGGGAGGGCGGTGCCTGATAGATATTTATATTTTCTCAAACCCATCACTATCCATTCACCCATACAGAACATAGTTCATACATTGAAAAGCACCTCTCTCCTCGTAAGCAACTCAAGACCCTTAAAATCAATCTGTAGTTTTTTTAAAGCTAGTTACGTCCCTTACACTAAAGCTTAAACTATTTTGCTTACATGGTGTTTCTTCCAAGCATATCATTGGGGGGGGGGGGGGGGGGGGGGCTCCAAAGTCTACCGCCCCCCCCCCCCCCCCGAACGAAATGAAATTTATTATAGAAAACATACTTTTACCAGTGGTCCGCCCCCCCCCCCCCCCCGAAAATATCAAGTGTTCCCGGAGAAAAAAGTCTGGAAGAAACACTGCAGGCACAGTTTCTTCCAGGCATCTCTTCGGGGAAAAAGTCTACCCGAAGGAAAGGGGAATTTATTTAGAAATATATACTTTTTACAGTGTCCGCCCCCCCCCCCCCCACCCATAATAACCCATTTCCCCACATATGACTTTAACCCCACTCTCCTATTTATAAACTCTGGTCCATTTTGCAACGACTCGCCGTGGGCGACTTAACCCGCCGGATGACATTTTGTAAACTCTAATGTGAGCGAATGTCACGTGATTTTTAAAAAATAGTTCTGGTTCGCTCCATTTAATAGTCGTGTATTTCATGTCTCGAGAAATAACAAACATTTCACTTTAACAGATTTTTATTTTCGTAATTCCTGTTTGCTGTTAAACTTTAAAGACGTTTTAAAAAAGTAAAGACGTTTGATTAACTTTTAAAGATAATTGCTTAATAGCTATCTAAATGTTGTCCTCTAATACGTCAAGTGTTTCAATTCAGACTTGTTTTTCCGAGGGGGGGGGGGGGGTCACTTGAATTTCCGGGGAGTGAGGGGTAGGCGGACTAAATTTTCGGGGTAAAAATATATTTATTTATTTAAAAAAATATTATTTCAATGTAAAATCTATTTCGTTGAGGGGGTGGGAGCGGGGGGCGGTAGACTTGCTTCGGGGGGGGGGGGGGGGGAGGGGAGATTTTGCCGAAGAGATGCCTGAAAGAAACATTGAGCTTGTAGTTTAAGTGTTAACAGCTTGTGCGCCATGCTGCTGCCTTTTATATTATAGGATATAACTGCAATTATATTTGCAGGGTAGGTAACTCAAGTAGGGGGGGGGGGGGGGGGGGTCTGGGCAGTTCACCCTAGGCAGCACATGTTTTTTTTTTATTAATATAGACAATGGGGCGTATCCGTTTTTCTATATGAATGTTAATAATGGATGTTGACAAATCCAGAATACGCCGCGGGGGTAGATTTGTGTTCGTACCTTTCTGGCTCACCCCACAACAAACGGTCGTGTCCACTGTAACTTTGTAGCAGTTAATGCATGTTTGAACCAGTGGCGTAGCATGGAGGAGGGTGGGGTCTCGGGCTAGACCAACTGTTTCACTCACACAAACGGTCGTGTCCACCGTAACTTTGTTGCATGTTTTAAACCGTGGGGGTAACAGCAGTGGCGTAGCCAGGATCGTCTCCATGGGGGGGGGTTCCAATTTTTTTCCAGCATTTTATATATATATATATATACTATATATATATAATATATATATATATATATATAATATATATATATATATATATATATATATATATATATATATATATATATATATATAGACGCAATAACAGTACTAGAACACAGCAAACAGATAAAAGTACTTATAACATTACTTACCTATAATCGTAGTTCAAGTCTTCTTGGACTCTTGGCTAATTCATCAAGAACCTCATCCGCTAAAATTTCAATTTGTCGGTGAATATTTAATAATGCCAATCCATTTAGTCTATCCTCGCAAGTAGTATTTCGCAAGTACGTTTTTAGCCGTCTGAGAGTGGAAAAAAGAGCGTTCGCTAACGGCAGTTGTTACAGGCAATGTTACAAATATTTGCAGTAGTTTGTGTACTGTTGGAAATATTTTTACGTCACACATTAAAAAAGCTTGATGAGCGTTTTGCGGTACATTTCCACTTGTAATAATGTGGCGCCACCACAGTTTCAGTTCTCCAATGCTTTCATCGATGACACTGCTGTTAATCAAAACGTTCATATTTTTGCATAAGTATTATGGCATTCTTTTCCTGTTCTTT